GTGTATTTTGTGTGTGGCCCAAGACAATAATTCTTCTTCCACCATGACCCAGAGAAGCCAAAGATTGGACACCCCTGTTTCAAAATCTTCCAATAGCTTCATAAAAGCCTGAAGGGGGGAGATCCCATAAGCACCGAGGCAGGAGCAAAAGGCCTCAGCCTATTTCCATATAAATAATGAAGAAGAAAGTAACTAGAAATATAACTGTAGTAATTATTAGTTATTCATATGTGATCTTAGTTATTCATAGGTGATCTTAATTCTTTTACTAATGCCTCTCAGATCGGAAGTGTGAACCTGGGGTGACATTGTGAAATGAATGACACTAAGGCAAGATGCTTTAAGTCCTCTGTCACGCCCGCATAAGGGCTGCTGGAGGGCGCCTCGGCTGTGCGGCAGCGCCAGTGCCGTGAAAGCACCCGCTGTTTAGCCAGCTAGGGAAGGAGACCTCCAAAATGGCTGAGACATCTCCTTCCTGGGGAAGTTAGGAGAAAACTTCACTTCTCCAAGCTCTTGTGGTAAGGCCTGACGGCTGTCAGGGAACCCACAGACATCCATGGGCCTAACTGTCTCTAAGCGATGCTGTGCTTCAGTGGTCACGTTCCATGTCTACTCTCATGTTCTGCTTCTGCACCTGCTTCCTTTTTTCTTAGAAAAGATAATCAGTAATAGTAACATAAATCGTAATGTTTTAGTTCTTTCTTGATAAGTATGGAAAAGGTGCTGATGCCTTATGCTCCTTACCTCACTTTGGGTGCCAGAAATTCCTGAGTCCACTGCCACGCCCTATCTACCCTGCCCCCAGTCTCCCGCCACCAAGGCCACGCCCTACCTACTCTGCCCCCAGATTTGCAACTCAATAAAAGTGAGAGCATCCTGTCCTGGCATTCAGCATTCAGGGCCACTGCTCCACGATTTGGGTAGCAGTGGACCCCTGGGCCCAAACTCCCTTTTCTCTATCTCTGTGTCTTGTGTCTTTTATTTCTACAACTTCTCATCTCTGCACCAGACCGGAGGGGCTCACAGAACCCTGTAGGGCTGGACCCTACAAAAGCCAAAGTCCTCAGAATGGCCTTGGGGCCCTACAATCTAGGTCCTTCCCTCACCTCTCTGATGGAATCTCCCGCTCTTTCCCTATAGTTCTTTCTCTTCACTCCAGCCACGTTGACCTTGTTCTTCCTCGAAAGTGGCAGGTTGCTCCCACCTCAGGACCTTTGTTGTTACTCTTCCCTCTGCCTGGAACTTCTTTCTCCACATTTATATGTGGTTCACGCCTAGCTTCCCTCAGGTCACTTGAATGTTACCTTCTCTGAACACACCTCCTCCTTGCTCGAGGTGCCCCCATAGCTCTTAGCACCATCTAACGTATTACATACTCTACTTATTTATTGTCCTGCTTCTACTAGAATGTAAACTCCCTGAGGGCAGGGATTGTTCCTGTTTTGTTCCCTGCTATATCACCACTTTCTAGAAGACTGACTGGCATGTCCAATATCCATCTGTAAAATGAAATGATGGAAAGAGGGCCCTAAGGAAATATAACATGGTGAAACTCCATCTCTACTAAATACAAAAAAATTAGCTGGGGCTGGGCACGGTGGCTCACGCCCGTAATTCCCATCAAGGCAGGTGGATTACCTAAGGTCAGGAGTTCAAGATCAGCCCGACTAACATGGTGAAAACCCGTCTCTACTAAAATTACAAAAATTAGGCAGGTGTGGTGGTGAGGGCCTGTAATCCCAGCTACTTGGGAGGCTGAGGCAGGAGAATCACTTGAACCCGGAGGTTGCAGTGAGCCAAGATCGCGCCATTGCACTCCAGCCTGGATCCTAGGCAGCAAGAATGACAATCTGTCTAAAAAAAAAAAAAAAAAACGGTTGAAATGGAGAAGCGGATGATGGTCTTGGATAATAACAGGGATGCCTCTTTCACTGCTCCTGGTAAGAATGGAGTCAGACATGTTTGTAGGTAGAAATTTAAGTATTCCCCTCCTGATTGCGTCTGATTTCTCCGGGAAATAGAAGAGAAGGAAGGACTTGAGGAGAGTAGAGATGGAGAGGGAGATCTATTGTGAAGATGGAAGGAGTTAAGGGCACCCGCAAGGATTGATGGAACAGCTGAAGTTGAAAACCGGGATTTGCCTTTGTACCCATCTACCTGGTGGGGCGGTTTTCCTCATCAACATCGGGGGGGTGGAGAGAAAATTACATAAAATGAATGGAAGCGGCAAAAATTCAAGTTTTGTCTCGGCTTTTTCTTCAAAGACCAAAGAGAATTCCTTCCATTGACTCAGTGCCTTCGTTTACCCATTCAGGCACTCATCACTAATCACTGGTCCCGTGGAAGTAAAATGAGCGGAGAGTCTCTTTGAGAGTAGAGAAAAAAAAGAAGAGCTGAGGAACGGGACCTCCCCCGGCCGGGTGAGAAGGGGAGTAGGAGGCGTTTAGCCTTCCCTAAAAACTGTATGTTGATACGCCCCGGGCCCAAGTTACGAGCCTTCTCCCGTGACCCCTCTCCTTTCCCAATAGCTTCCAGCTGCCCCGTCGTGTGACATTCCAGTCCACCTCTGTTCCTGCTCCACCCCCTCCAAACTCGCGTGCTTTTCCTCCACGTGGTTCTCTGTGTATGTCGGTTGCCTGGGAGACCCCAGCCGGGCCGGGCTGTAATGACGCCATAATAGGAACAAGCCAATACCCGTGACGCGTCTCAGTGACGCGAGACGCGGGGTGTGGCTCTGCCGGCTCAGGCATGATGAGGCGGCTGCCCGCTGGGTGGCGCCGATTTCCCGGGGAGGTCCCTTCTGGGCCCCCGGCTGAGGTGGGGGAAAGGCAGGCAGGAGCCGAGGCCGGGGAGCCCTCTGCGTCAGCTGCTGCTCACTGCGCCGTGCCAGCGCCAGCCGGGTCTCACCCGCAGCTCCATGCTTGTGCCCGGTTCGACTCGTCCATCCTCCAAGAAAAGGCAGGTAAGTGCCACCTGTCGGGGATTCGGGGATCAGTGCCGGTTTGGGGCTCAGAAAGTAAGGTGTCCATGACAGCCTGGGCAGAATGGGCACTAGATATAGGGCGAGAGCCGGCTATTCAGGGGCGCTCCAGCTGTGGCTGCCAAATGTGTGGGGGCTGCCTGCTGAAGCCCAGGGTGCCAGGAAGAGCCATCTGTGTGCTGATCAGTGTATTCTAAGGAAATGCTGCCTCGGCGGGTCCTCCTCGCTGTGCCCTGTGTATATCGGTGGTCTGTGACCCGAGAGTGACACCGACAAACCCCCTTCCCACGTGTGCTTGCAGCTCACTTGCTGCTCTTAAAGCTCCCGGGGCTGTAGCTGGTCAGATCGCTAAAGGGGGTTGGGGGCGGGTTGGGGCAACAATTAAGCGGAAGGCAAGATTTTCCACCAATCCCAAATCAGAAAGAGGCAGCTTTGAAATTCTCACCAATCCCAAACCAGAAGCAGGCACGCGGTTCTCCAAAGAGAGCAACTTCTTAACAGTCAAGAGAAGCCCTAGCCAACCCATTCTAGCCCTTCCCTGAAGAGTGAACATCCTACCTCTTAACCGGGCTGCTTTTAGAATGGGACTGAGCTGGAAGTAGTGCTGCTCACCTCCCCTGAAACGGACATGAGAACATCCCCCAGATGGACCCCCGGAAAGCGGAGGAAAGGAGAGCTGACTGGGCTAAGGTCGAGGCAGGCCCCCCTCCTTTGATGCTGCAGATGCAATGTCAGACTGAAGTCAGAATGAGGACTGGAATGAGGGCGTCCTCTGAAGTGCATCATCAGGACCTGGGCTGAGTCAGTAGCCTGTGCTAAGACAGGGTGGAGGCACCAGCCTGGGTACTCCCAGTCCTCAGGGAGAGCCATCGAGAAACGTCCTGAGAGCAGACAAGTGCACCAAGGCCAGAGAGGCTAAGAACGCTGTTCCTTCCTCTTGTGACCCCACCCAGCCCGTCTCTGTGACCCTGGAATCCTGAGCCCTCGCACAGGTAGAGTGGAACCACCCCGGAGGGGCCAGGCGTTCTCCTGGTGGCCTGGGGGAAGCTGCGCTTGCTGTATTTTTCTAGGCAAAGGGGGAAGGAGCCCAAATGGGCTTGGCCTTTCTCTGCTTGGTGGACTGGACATCTAGGAAGATGGCAAGCCTTGTTTGCCCTTCCCAGTTATGGGACATGGTCAGTTCAGAAAACCATGGGACTGTTCTCTGGTATTAGAAAGGAACACTTCCCCAGAAGTAACCTTCCTTTTCTCCCTAGGAAGGTTCACCTGGTAAGGTGCTATTACTAATAATACCATTAATTATAATAATAAGTGGAAGTATTCAATATAATCATTTATTGAACTCTTATGTGCCAGGAAATTTACAAATACTATTTTATTTAATCCTCACAATATAGACCATTATTAAATTCCTGTTTTGCAGATTAATAGCTAAGGTTTAGAGAACATAAGTGACTTATCCACTATTTCAGAGCCAATAAGGGAAAGAACTAGCATCCAAGCCCAGGCCTAGAAGTCCATTAGAAAAGAATATTGGAGGCCGGGCGCGGTGGCTCAAGCCTGTAATCCCAGCACTGTGGGAGGCCGAGGCGGGTGGATCACGAGGTCAAGAGATCGAGACCATCTTGGTCAACATGGTGAAACCCCGTCTCTACTAAAACTACAAAAAATTAGCTGGGCATGGTAGCACGTGCCTGTAATCCCAGCTACTCAGGAGGCTGAGGCAGGAGAATTGCCTGAACCCGGGAGGCGGAGGTTGCGGTGAGCCGAGATCGTGCCATTGCACTCCAGCCTGGGTAACAAGAGCGAAACTCTGTCTCAAAAAAAAAAAAAAAGAAAAGAATATTGGACTGAAACCTGAGTACAGTCCCCTTTCTGCTTCTCACTATCTGTATATGCCCTTGAGCAAGCTGCTTGCTTTCTCTAGGTCTACTCTGTTTCAAAATTAGAGTGGGATTAGTGGTATGGCTTCTTCCTGTCTCTAATTCTGTGACTGACTGCTCCAGAAAATCCACTTTCTCTGTATTTTTGCCTCAAGTTCCACCCCGACCCCTCCATGCTCTTCTCAGTCCTCTGTCTCCTCTTGAATCTCCCGACTGTTCCCCTTCAAAACGCCCCCCTTCCAAGAGTCCTCACAGACCTCCTTGGCTGGCACTGGCCCGAAAGGGCAGCCCCTCAAGGGTGGGCATGCCACTGCCCCTTTAATTCTCCCAGGCTTGGAATGTAAGTGAGTCGCACTCGCCATCTCTGTGAGGTCAGATAAGATACTATATATATCGGAGTCAGTAACCTGAGCTCCGGATTACCCAGCCTGGAGTCAGGCTCCAGCTTCTGGGCTTTCCACTGCATTCCCTGCCCTGCTGGGGAAGAAGAAGCCCCCAAGTCCCATCCAGTGCCCCTGGACACAGGTCAGTAGCTGCCTCTTTGGTATCTGAGCTTCTCTGGGACTCTATCAAGAGGGGAGACATCAGTGAATCTGGGAGAGCATGTGAAGGCCACCCCACCGGGCCTGGTGGGTATCGGGGCAAGACCAAAGGCCCCCCCAGAGGCTGAGAACAGAGGAAAGACGAGGCTCTAGAAGAGAGGGAAGGAGACTGGGGCTCACCCCTGGGGAGGGAACACCAGAAGAGTACCTGGGCAGAGGTGGTTGGAAAAGAGAATTTAAGGATCCCAATACTTCCTGGAGGCCCATTTCTTTACCCTGTCTTGGAAGTGTAGAGATGCCCACCCACTCACAACCCCAAATCAAGGTGCACCCTATGGAGACTGCCCTGGACCCACCCACTTCTTCTCCACCAGTCAGGATTCTTGCCTTAATCTCTAATCTCTTTATCTCCTTCCCTCCCCAGCTCTTGGGTAACTACTGGGAGCAGGAGAAAGAAAAATGGACCCAAATCCCCTTGGATGACCCCCTGCCAGGGCAGGCAAGAGGATTAGGCTGGTGGATCGCTGGGTGCTAGCCCCTGATAGAGCGGCTAGTGACAGGCTGGAGGGGAGGGGGCCGAGGCCCTGGGGCCTGAGAGGAGTAGGCAGAGTTCAAGGACTGTTTGAGCATAAATATGCCCCGCCCCAATCCCCTACTCCACCCACGCCCTCTACACCTGCCAGGATTCCCTCATCCCATCCTCCAGGACCCGACACTTGTGCCCCGAGAGTGCAGCATGTAACCCAAGCAGCTGGGAGGGAGGGTCAGAATGCAGATGGAAGGAAACAGGCCCCTCTCACAGGCTTTGTCCTTCAAGGTCAGCACATTCTGATGCTGTTAGCAAGTGGCTTTAGGAAGCTCTGAGGTCACCACTGAGGAAGCTCCCAACCACCTGGTGGGACTGGCTGGGACTCCCCACTCACCTGTTCTGAGCGCCTGAGCAGGAGGGAAGAGATTTAACCCTGTTTAGGTGTGCTTCGGAAACTCAGCTAGAGGCTCTCTATCTAAGCAGTAGCAAAGTCACAGTAGCAAAGCAGGCTTTCATCCCAGAAAGCCAAGCAGATCTGGGCAGAGAGAGAGGCCATGAAGTTTACTGGGATGTGGGGCATCATCCATCTCCTGCCCCCGGGGCCAGGAGTGCCTGGGATTCCTGGGGAGCAAGTCCCTCCCCTGGCTGGGCAGGTTAGGGAGCCCTTCACCTGAGCAACAGGAAATGACCGTGGCTGAAGCAAAGGGGCTGGCTGCCCCAGGGAGACGGGTTCATTTCAACCCCTGACTCACCCAGCATGGGTACCTTGAGGAGTGGGCCAAGCTGCAGCCAGGGTGGGAGGCTGGGGGCTTTGCTCACAACCAGGCCAAGAACCCAAGGCCCTGAGCTGGGTTAGATGCTGGTACCAGGGGACATGCAGGGGCTTGGCACAGTGGGTGCAATGGAGGCTTCCTGGACCATCTCTCAGCCGATCAGTATTGTTCTGGGGCTCAAGTTGCGCCTGGCTTCACTTTCATTCGCCTGCAGTGGAAAATCCAGAGGACTGCTCCTGCCGGAGTCTGTACACCCCATGCTGTTGCTGGACGGCGGACACCTGGATCCTGTGGCGGTCCTTCCTTCAAACCCCTACCCATGGGTCCCAGTCCTGACCCGTCCCATGGAGAGTCAGGAAAGAGTGAAGCAGGGGTCTGGGCTTCAAGCCAGCTGTAGCAGACAGAGCACAGGTCCAGCCCAGCTCTGCCTCTGCTCCCAGTGTGACTTTGGGAAATCCACATCACTGCCAGCATTGTCAATTTCCTCATCTGCAAATGGGCATTAGCACAGCACCTACCGCCTAAAGGAGTCAGGAGGATTCAGTGAGTTAATACACTGTGTCCCAAGCCTTAGAGCAGTTACAAGCTTTAATAACTTCAGAAATACAAATGCTAAAAACATTTAAAAGTTTCCATATTTAAATTTATTGTATATTTATTTTTTGAATTGTGAATCTTTTTGAATTTTAATTTTATTTAAATAATTTAATCTGTCCAAAGATGTTTTTAGTTGGAGACATTTATGTCTGTAAGGATTCAAGCTTAAACCTGCACTAAGGTTCTTTGGGGTGCTCTGTATATGAAGCGCACCTACAAGAATGGGTCACGTGGCGAGGGCCGATGCGAGTTGGTGTGAGGCTGTGGAGAAGATGGACTCAGAAGCTGCATGTGAAGTACTCAGCATGCCTGGGGCCTGGTTCAGAGGTGTCAGCACCAGCCAGCCCGGGGTGACAGCTGCTTGGCTCAGATGTCCCAACAGGAAGCCGAGTGCCTTTGTGCAGAGGAATGCTGCTACACCTCCCAGGAGAGGGAAACTGAGCAAAGCAACAGGAATCTCTGACAGAGAAGAAAGAGTCAGGACACCTCAGTGAAGATGGCCTAGAGGAGGCGCTGGGCAGGGGACTGCCCCCGTTGTCCAAGACAATGGACACCTGGGGAGGCGCTGCCTGGAGCTGCGTGCCTGTACTTGCCAGCTCTGGGTAAACAGTGAAAGAAGCTGGGCAGCAGGGGCCCTGCACTGGGCAGGGAGGGGTATGAGGGATCCCAGCCAATCGGCTCGCCTCCCGCTGCCCCATGAAAGGGCCATTCAGTTCAGGCTGTTCCTGTGGCAACAGGGGGACTCGCAGCCATGTGAGTGCCCGTCCTGTCCCTGTCTTGCGCAGCGAGGCTCCAGCCAGGGACCCAGCCCGCTCTCCTGCCCATGGTGCATTCTGCAGCCTCCAAGGACAGCTGTGCAGGTAATGCCAAGGGGCACCAGCCGAGGCTGTGCTTTCACCTGGAAGGTGCTAGGACTTCTGAGAGTGAAACTGGGGGTTGCAAGAGGGGAGAGACATGTGCAAGGCCCCGGCCCCAATAAGGGCCCTCTCCCCAGACGTGGGAACTGTAGCTAGATGTCAGAGCCGAGAGGCAGCTTCCATGGGGTGTTAGTGATGGCCTGACTCCCAGGGCTGCTGAGAGGAGGGGGAGGGGTCTGGCAATCACCTGCCAGATGGGAGGGAGTGTAGGGATTTGGGAGCCCTCCTGGGATTCTGTGGGCCAGAGATGTGGCCAAGCCTCCAGCTCCAGAGCCTTTTAGAGCTGTCTGCCCCTGTCCTCAGTACCTTGTTTGGCCCCAGCACTTCTGCGTCATCTGCAGGGCCAGGGGATGTCACGGGCTTGGGGCGCTGCCCGCAGAATACCAATTCCCTGGGAGCTTTAGTGTGGGGGAGGGGGAGGGAGAGCTGTGGGGAGGAGCCATGACCTCATACCCTTGTTGCGGGGGAGGGGAGTTGGATCTGATTGGCTGCCTGGTGTCCCAGAGCCCAACTCCTGAGACCTGGAGTCTCTTTGACTTTACATTATTGATGGAGTTTTCCAAAGCGCAATAGAGCAGGACTGGGCCCCCCACCTCAGCCCTGTGACTGTCTGTCCTTCCTGCTGTGGTTTCCTTCTAACACTGTATGAAGTCATCCCTCAGTTACCTTTTCCTAGAAAAGGGTGAAAGTTGTGCTGGGCCCACTGGGCAAAGGAGTATACATGAAGGGCCAGGGGTCCCCTGGGCCAGGTGGCAAAAGGGTAGGACAGTAAGGTGGACCAGGCCTTTCTGATATCAGCCTGGACTGAAAATTGCTGGAGTTCTCAGGCAGGGTCAAGGAATGCTGTTCTGGGTGGGTGCCGCCTGCTCATCTCCCAACCCTGTACCTACCCCAAAGCCTTGTGTGGACTGGTATTCTACAGCTTTCTGCCAAGCCCTTGCATTTGGGGTTTGGCACCAGCTCCTCTCTGCCCTAATAGGCTGGGTTGCCAAGCCAGTGTCTGCTGAGTGACCAGATGTCTGCCCACTGCCTGCTTCTCTCACTGAGGGCTGCAGGGGAAGGCCTGGCATCCCAAGCTGAGGCCAGAGGCTAGCCAGGCTGGGAGACGGCCAGCCCTGATATTATCACAGACCTACAGAGGGCAGAGCCATGCTGCCCCAAAGTAGCTGGGGGAGGAGATGGTAACCACTGTCCTTGTGCAGCCCTTCACGTGTTATCTCATTTATTCCTCACAGCAGCCCTGTGAAGTAGGAATTACGAGGATGATGGTTTTACTGATTTACAGATGAGGAGGTTGGGCTCAGAGAGGTTACAAAATTGCCCAGCTAGTCCATCACAGGGCAGGTCGCATGACTCTGAGAGTCCTGGATGGCTCCGCTTCTGTCCCCCTAGAGAGCCCCCCAAGAGCCCCTGATGCCCTTGAGGAAAGGCATCTGACCTACTTGCTCCTATGCCACTCCAGTTCCACTGGATAAAGCCTGCATGTTTATGGCAATGGAGGGCCTCTGGAGGTCCCCAACTGAGCCTAAATCTGACTCTGGGGTGGTAACTTAACGTTAAGTAGAAAGAACACTGGGCAGGATTTTAAAGACCTGGATTCCAGTCCTGGCTCTGCTGGTGTGTGGCCGTGGGCAAATAAGCACCACTTTTCCAATCTGTACAACAGATAGATTAAAATGCATGATCCTCTGGGGCTCTCAAAGCTCCACATTCAGCAGTTTCTGTGTTCCTTCACTAGACCCTCCCCTGCTGCAGGGCTGGAGCAGGGAAGGACTGGGAATGCCACCTGCAGTGCAAGATTTGGGACTGTAGGGGGTCCCCTTTGCACAAGCATCGCCAGGAGCAATTTGGGATCCGTACTGGTAAAGGAACCTGTGTTGGCAGAGGAACTCTTGGGAGGCCACAGGCCCTAACTCCACTTAGAACAGAAGCTTAGCTCAGTGAAGTGAGTGAGTTCTACTTCATGAGCGCCCCTCACTGTGGGACCAAACAGCAGGTGCTGGTGTCTGGGAAAAGCCCTGGGATGGAGTCTGGAGACCACGTTCTGGCCTCTCGCTGCTGAATGCTCACCACCTCCCCTGCCCACCCACACCCCATTACTTCCTCTCTTAAGCCTCCTTGACCTCACAAGGGATCTGACCAAATGATCTTCAGGTCATTCCAGCGCAGACAGTCTAGGATTCCAAAAAGACACCTGCTCATCACATAAGTCCGAAGGAACAGAATGTTTTTTGTTTTTTGGTTTTTTAAATGAAGTCTCGCTCTGTCGCCCAGGCTGGAGTGCAGTGGCACAATCTTGGCTCACTGCAACCTCCGCCTCCTAGGTTCAAGCGATTCTCCTGCCTCAGCCTCCGAGTAGCTGGGATTATAGAGCCTGCCACTACACCTGGCAAATTTTTGTATTTTTAGTAGAGACGCAGTTTCACCATGTTGACCAGGCTAGTCTCGAACTCCTGACATTGTGATCTGCCCACCTCAGCCTCCCAAAATGCTGGGATTACAGGCATGAGCCACCTCGCCCAGCCAGAAGTGATCTTAACTCCTGAAATATCAAGCACTTTCAACCCAGGGGTCAGTGGCATCTCCCTAGCTCAAGAGTCTCTGCAGATGCTGAGGCAATGGGATTTAGGCTGGAAGAGTGTGCATGGCTTGGTGGGCTGTGGAGGTCAGGTAGCCCCTGCTTGCGTGTTCGAGTCTTTGAATGGCCAGGATGCACTGACTCCCTGTGTGGCATATAAAAGCCACCTTGTCCCTCAAACTCTCACTGGGGTGTAAGCACACAGGTGCAAGCAAGCCCACATGCATACCTGCGTGCATGTGTTTCTCAGCAGCCAGCCTGTCTCTCATGGAAATAGACAGGGAGCTCTGAGGTTCTGGCCCAGCTGGGGAGTGGGTGCGTGGGTGCCCGACACCTCGAAGGGCCCTTTGACAACTGCTCTCCTTGTCTTTCAGCCCATGAGGCTCCCAGTCCCCACTGAGTGCCGCCCTGAAGGATGTCCCAGCTCTCCTCCACCCTGAAGCGCTACACAGAATCAGCCCGCTACACAGATGCCCACTATGCCAAGTCAGGCTATGGCACCTATACCCCTTCCTCCTATGGGGCCAACCTGGCCGCCTCCTTACTGGAGAAGGAGAAACTTGTTTTCAAGCCGGTCCCCCCCAGCAGCTTCCTCAACCGTCCCCGTACCTATGGCCCCTCCTCCATCCTGGACTATGACCGGGGCCGCCCCCTGCTGAGACCTGACATCACTGGGGGTGGTAAGCGGGCAGAGAGCCAGACCTGGGCCACTGAGCGGCCTTTAGGCAGTGGCCTCAGCGGGGGCAGTGGATTCTCTTATGGAGTGACCAGCAACTGCCTCAGCTACCTGCCCATGAATGCCCATGACCAGGGGGTGACCCTGACCCAGAAGAAGTCGGACAGCCAATCAGACCTGGCCCGGGATTTCTCCAGCCTCAGGACCTCAGATAGCTACCGGACAGACCCGGGGAACCTGGGCCACAGCCCCATGCTGGCCCGGACGCGCAAGGAGCTCTGCACCCTGCAGGGGCTCTACCAGGCAGCCAGCCGCCCTGAGTACCTGGTCGACTACCTGGAGAACTATGGTCGAAAGGGCAGTGCCTCTCAGGTGCCCTTCCACACCCCTCCCTCACGAATCCCTGAAGTCCTCAGCCCTACCTACCGACCCATTGGCCGCTACACGCTGTGGGAGAAGGGAAAAGGTCAGGCTTCTGGGCCAACCCGCTCCAGCTCCCCAGGGAGAGACAGCATGGTGAGTTTACCCTTGGGGATGGGGACGGGCTGGGGAGGCAGCTACTGATGGAGAACAGCCAGGTTAAGGGCACGACTCCCAACCTGACTGATGATTGACAGTGGCGGAAACAAGAGAAGTTATCCCGGCACGTCTGGTGCCCCCGGGGCTCCGTGCCAAGGGGAAGGGCTTTCCCACTCTGCCTAGAAAGCCCCCTCAGGGCCTGTGCACTCAAGGATAGTTGAGTAATGCTCTCAGGAATGCTCTGCTGCCCCCAATGCACCACTCTTCTCACCTTCTCCTTTTCCATCTGACATGCCAGTGTCTCCTGCAGGCCCTGCCCTGACCTGGGCTGGATGCGGGGGCCCCAGACCACCTGTGCATCCTGTGGCAGGAGGGCCTCCTTGCTGTGGTTGCATCTCCCCTCCTATGCAAGCTTTATTCCCTAACCCTGAGGCCTGGCTTTACATTTGAACATAAGACATCTGGAAAAGAGGGACTCCCCTCTGAGTGACACTGGCATGCTCAGGTCCAGATTATCGGACAGAAATGCTTATTATGTGGCTTTGGAGAAAATAGTGGAGAAATTTTTGTCTAGGGCTTGAGACAATCCAATGCCTCTGTATTCCAGCCTTGCCTCAGCTGGAATGAGGGAAGAGGCTCTGCTGGAGACTGACCAAGGGCTGGCATGGCCTGGCTCGCAATGAATCCCTGAACACGCCTCTCTTGGGGCACTGATGACATCTGCCTTTTTCTGTAGTTACTAGTGTGCCCATTAGGTGGCAAGCTCTCAGAGGAGGAAAAAGAGATCCCATCACTAAATCCTCTGCCATGTGCTTCCCACAGTGGGAGCTGCCCTGCCGATTGGACGATGGATGGATGGATGGGTGGGTGGGTGGGTGAATGGATGGATGGATTGGTGGGTGGGTGTTGAATGGGTTGGTGGATAGGTGGGTAGGCGGATACATGTGTAGGTGGCAGGTAGATAGACGGACAGGCAAGCATATGGGCAGGAGAGCTGGGTGCTGTGTCTCCTCCATTACTTTACCTACCCCTCCCTACTCCTAGGACAAGTACATTTTGGAAACAACAGCTGTGCCACAGCAAGCAATACTGCTTGGAGGGCTGATCCAGATAAATGGAGCAGGGGTTCAGGACTAGGGGAAGGACTTTGAAGCTTGTCATAAGTAAAGGTCTTGAGAGGGCAACTTGGATATTACTTAGGGAGTCTTGGCTTTGCTGTGCCATCTGTGAAGTGGCACAGAGATAGAAATGCTGGTATCTCCCAGAACATTCAGACCCTGACAAGGCAGGGCTGGCTCCACTGGAGAGCTAGTGTAGAAAGGCGTAGAGACGAGACATGTGTCATGACAGAGCTGGCCTGGGAGGGAAGTACCTGCTCTCAGGGGTCCACATGCTGGGTTTGGGGTGGAGCAGGATTCACTTGGACACAGCTGGTGCTGTTCATCCCCGGGGCATTTAGAAAATGGCTCTCCTCTGAGGTGGGCAGACCACATGAGGTCAGGAGTTTGAGACTAGCCTGGTCAACATTGTGAAACCCTGTCTCTACTAAAAATACAAAAATTAGCCAGGCGTGGTGGCGTGTGCCTGTAATCCCAGCTACTCAGAAGGCTAAGGCAGGAGAATCACTAAGGCAGAAGTTGCAGTAAGCTGAGATTGTGCCACTGCACTCCAGTCTGGGTGACAGAGCCAGACTCAATCTCAAAAAAAAAAATAAGAAAAAGAAAATGGCTCTCCTCGGAGGGGCCCAGGTCCTCTGAAGGGCTTCCTCCCTTTGCTCAGAAGAGGGCTCACTTAAGTAGGGCTTAATGATTCACCCAAACCCACTGAAGCAAACTCTCTCAGGATGGAGCCTGGGAAGCTGCTCTTTTCTCAAGCTCTTTGGGTGATCTCTAGTCATGCTAAGGTGGAAAACCACCTTGCAGCAGACTAAGCTACAGACCCACCCTCAGCCTCGATCATGATAGCCATATCCCCCTTTACTGGGGGCAGATTCCACTGGAAATCTACCTCCTCCCCACACAGGCATGGCTCAGCCCTCCTTGGAGTCTGCCTCCCCTGCACCCCTCCAGAAGGGACAATCCCGGCTCCACCCCCAGCTCCAGAGCCAAGGTGAAGGGAATTTTGAGAGAGGACCTCACAGAAGTGGCAGATCGCCCTGGGGCAAACTCAGCCACCCTCATCCAGAAGCAACTCATAAGGCACTTTAGCCCGGAATGCCCTGCAGTTGAGCTAGTGTTTCACTCAGAGCTCATGCCCCAAAAGATACTGCCAACCAGCAGAGGCCTCTCCGGGTCAATGGTGCAAGATCTTTATTTAACCTCACCCCTCTCTCTCCACCCCTCTTATCCTCACTTCCTGGAGCACAGTGCACCTTGCTGAGGTGAGAACAACCCTGCTCGTGAAGCCTGGGCCACTTCTTTCCATAACTGGGTGCAGTTTCTTTCTAGATCTCCATCTGAGGATCTTGCCTTTTGAGGCACTCATTTGTGGTGCTCAGCTTACCAGCAACGTGACCTCAGATAGCTTCCTTAGTTTCTGAACCTGTGTCCTCCTCTGTAAAATGAGTGATCATTGTTCCCACTTCATAAATTACTTGAGGAATGGAAAGATGATGTATGTGAAAGTGCCTGGCACGTTGCTTAGTAAATGTCAGTCCTCCTCATACCCTTCCAGTGCTTTAGAAGGCAAGAGATGTGTGCAAGCAACAGTCCCTGCCCTCAGTGCCTTCACAATTCACTTAGGGAAATAAGTTTGTTTGGTTTTGTTTTGTTGGAGATGGAGTCTCGCTCTGTCTCACTCAGGCTGGAATGCAGTGGTGCAATCTTGGCTCACTGCAACCTCCGCCTCCCAGGTTCGAGTGATTCTCCGGTCTCAGCCTCCCGAGTAGCTAGGCCTACAGGCATGCACCACCACACCAGGCTAATTTTGTATTTTTAGCAGAGACAGGGTTTCACTAAGTTGGCCAGGCTGGTCTCAAACTCCTGACCTCCGGTGATCCGCTTGCCGTGGCCTCCCAAAGTGCTGGGATTACAGGCACGAGCCACTGCGCATGGCCGGGAAATAAGTTCCTAAATAGGTGCAGCCGGGAGGCAGCCCTGGGTGCTCCTGAGTGTCACAGTTGGAGGGAAAGGGAGAGGTCATCTGAGGCTGGGACAGTCTGGCCTCTCTAACCTTGGACACCTATCGGCTGGGCTGTATTTCCTTATGCATATAAGGGAATGATCACACCTGCCCTGCCCCCCTCATAAGCATGCCATGAGGCTCAAGGCAAATAATGAAGGTGAAGGAATCTGAAATCAGTAAAATGCTGCAGAAGAGGTCATTTGAACTTAAGGGGGAAAAAGAGATCATAGAAAGGGGGCATTTAAGTTGGGCATGGGAGCTCACGCCTGTAATCCCAGCACTTTGGGAGGCCAAGACTGGCAGATCACCTGAGGTCAGGAGTTCAAGACCAGCCTGGTCAACATGGTGAAACTCCATCTCTACTAAAAATACAAAACTTATCTGGGCGTGGTGGTACACGCTTATAATCCCAGCTACTTGGGAGGTTGAGGCAGGAGAATTGCTTGAACCCAGGAGGCAAAGGTTGCAGTGAACTGAGATCATGCCATTGCACTCCAGCCTGGGAAACAAGAGTGAAACTTCACCTCAAAAAACAAAAAAAGAAAGAAAAAAGAAAGGGGGCATTTGGCAGCTGACTAGAGTAGGAAGGGTGCCCCCAACCCTGTGGGAGAAACAGGTAAAAAAGTACACCCCGTGTCCCAGGGGGTCCTCAGGGTAGCTGACCGGAGCTACAGCTGGCATTCATTAAGGGAGGTCAACAGCAGGCTGTGACCAGGGAGAACAGTTCTAGCCAGACTTGTTTCCCTCATTAACAGTAACGGGCAGCATGCATTTTGAATATCACAGACTCAGCTAAGCATGAGTATAGAACTGGTGGGGGCAGGGGGCACCACATAAATTTGGAATTATCCCCTCCCCATGCTTGTGTAAGCATCAACAAAATGCCAGGCCAGGGGAGCACAGCTCAGCGCTTGTATCACGAGGGCCTGCCCTGAGACTCCACCTTCTGCTTAAAATGCAGGCAGGGAGGAGGAACAGTGATGGTGGAAAAAAAGCGTTCACTACCCCTAGTGGGGACTCCAAGCCAGCCCAGGTGGCTCAGCCCTGCAGAAAGCCAGGAGCCCCAGTCCCAACCCTGCCATCTCCCCATCCGCCCCACCTTTCCTCTTCCCGGGGCCTATGGAAGGACAAGCTGTTCCCACTCAGCCCTGCCAGGGTTGCGCTTTAACCCCTACAATCCTTCCTAATCCTCCTCTGCTCCACCCCTCCAGCTGCTCCTCCCTAGCCCTGGCATTCTGCCTGCTGGCCTCTGCCCAGCCCTTGTCCTGCCCTGCCCAGGCCATCCTCTCCTCTCCCCAAGAAGAGCCAGGGGTTGGCCCAGCGCCCTTCGGAGCACAGTCGGCAAGCTGGGCACCTGCAACTCAGATGCAGAGCCAGGGCCAAGGCTCAGTCTGACCCAGCCTATTCTCACCCACCCAGTCTCTCCCACACCCTTTCCCTCTGCTCCAGGATCTGTTTCTAGGAGCAAAAGGTCTGGGAAACTGAGTACCTGGGTCCTGTTTGCCACTGGGGCTGCTGACTCATCTTCCAAAGCCTTGGGTTCCAGCTGTTCAGTGACAGGGTGATTATATAAACTGAGGTCATGTGATTTTTCCCTCGGGTGGGACTTTGGACTTGAATGCTACCCTGCAGTAAGCGGAGGTTACTCCAAAGTGAACAAGTTGCGGATAGCAGGGGCTGTCGGGGAGCTCCTCGGTGAGAAGTACAACTCGCCTCGCCTCTCGTCCCTCGCCTTCTTGCTCCATTCACACAGCCATGCTGGCCTGCATCCCTGCTGCCTTGCTTATCCAGCTTGGCAGCCTGAGATCCTGGGGTCTGTCCTCACCTACTCCCACCCCGGGCTCACTCAGCCACCCTGAGGAGGTTGAACTTCCTGAGGTTATGCATCTGTGTTGGGAGGAGGTTGAACTTCCTGAGGTCACGCATCTGTGTTGGCAGCTTGAGAAGGTCAGTAAAAGACCTTAAGCCAGAGGGACCATTTGGCTAGGAGCTGTACGAGCTGCTGAGAAGGAAAGGGCAGTGGGTTTGTGGTTTGCGACTAGAATCAGCAAGGCACTGGTGTCTCCATCCCTTGCAGACTGGTTGTGGGCTGTATCCTGGCTGGTAGCCTTGGTGCTGCCTTATCCAGGCTCAATTTCTCAATCGGTGCCCAGCACCATCCTCCCGCCTCCTCCTCCACCCCCGCTCCAGGATGTCTTCATGAGTTAATGTGGTGCTGGGGTGGGACTCAGCAATGCAGAAGTTAATCCAAGCCTGGCAAAATGTTCCTTGCCCCTGGGGGAGCCGCTCCACTGACCACCGGCTGCAGAAATGAACGGCATGTTCAGAGCCCAAAGCTGCACACGTGGCCCCTTGTACCCTCTCACCTCAATACATACATAAAGCTAGCGCTCCAGATAGAGACATATGCAAAAGAAGGAAGTGTGTGGGCCGCTGGAATCCATCTGGTTCAGGCCAGACTGCCTGGGCTCAAAGGAGTGCAGAGCTTTTGGCCTCCTGGAGTTCATGTCATGCAGGGAAGCAGACCTTCCTACAGAGAGTGGGGAGGACGGGCTGACCCTCTCTCCCCAAGATGCACTGTGGGGCAAAAGCCCAACACCTAATAAGGACTTAGAGCCCCTACCATTCATCCATCAATCAGGTCACTGGTCTGTCCATTTGCAGTGGTAATCGCAGGCACGTGCTGGGAGCCAGGCTTTCAGACAGCTGCCTGAGCCTCAGCAGTGTCACCAAACCCTGGCCCAAGCTGCCCACGCAGATCTGGGAGAAGCAGGATACTCTCAGTCCCTGCCCTCGTAGAGGTAGCCCTGACTTTCATTTATATCACTCCATCATGCCAGGAAGGATTTCAGGTAAAGAAAATGACTTATCCTACAGGGGAAGCAGGCCAAACCCAGGTTCTGAGGAATGGCAGTCAGGATGCAGGAATGAGCCCAGCTCAGATTAGCTCAGTGTATTTGAGGCACAGAGAGTCACTGAGCCACAGCCAGGTTCCGATGCCAGAAGCCTCTATCCTTTGTATCCATCCCACTCCAAGAGTGGCAGTGAAGAGAAAGGGTCTCACAGAGACCCTGCTGGCTGAGAGATGAGCCAAGGTCCTTTGTGGCAGTGCCCTGCAGCAGTCAGACCTGCTTGACTAGACTGGACGATGTGTGAATTCTTTCCCCCTACCCCAGACTTCTCAAAGTGCTCCCATGCTAAAGCTCTCCCCAGCTGGCCCTCCCTGCTCCTAGCAACCCCTCTAACCTCCTAAATCCCAAGGAAGAGGGAGAACAAGCTGGCAGAACACTAAGATGTCCTGGGTAGGAGTGCTCACATCGCTGTGTGTAAGTCACGGGAGACAGGCCAAATACTATAGTGGGTTAGCACCTCTTGGTTCAGGTCCCCCTTGGCCCAGCAATACATGGTTCAACATGCAAAACCAGATTCACGCCCCACCCTCTGAGGCTCAGTGGGACTTCCAGGATTCCCCACAGAGCCTGGTCTGGTCCTCTTTAGAGACAAGATCAACACCATTCATTAAGAACCCACTAAGAGAACCCACAACCCTGCCCTTGAGGAGGTTTCGGTGTGCTGGCATAACCATGACAGACCACACACAATCTAAGACCATTTACAGGACTCTTAGAAACACTTAGAAAACAAAGATAAACATATTAAGATAAATGACTGTGCAAACTGAATGCTCATAGACTGAGGATATACAGTAATGGGAGTGTTTCGAGCTGGGCGGAGTTAGTTAGGAAGATGCTTTTGGAAGAGCAAGCTTTTTTTTTTTTTTTTTTGAGATGGAGTTTCACTCATGTTACCCAGGCTGGAGTGCAATGGCGTGATCTCGGCTCACTGCAACCTCCGCCTCCTGGGTTCAGGCAATTCTCCTGCCTCAGCCTCCTGAGTAGCTGCGATTACAGGCACGCACCACCATGCCCAGCTAATGTTTTGTATTTTTAGTAGAGACGGGGTTTCACCATGTTGACCAGGATGGTCTCGATCTCTTGACCTCGTGATCCACCCGCCTCGGCCTCCCAAAGTGCTGGGATTACAGGCTTGAGCCACCGCGCCCGGCCCGAAGAGCAAGCTTTAAGCAGAAGTTACAAGCAGGTAATTGGCAGAGAGCAGGAAGTACATCCCAGAATTTCCTGTTAAAAGTGTGGGTTTTTAATAGGACAAAGCCCCACATTGTCATTTATTAACTTTGTGGTCCTGGCAAGTCATTTGACCACTCTAGGCTTAAGATCCTTCACCTATAAAATAGATGTAATAAACCAGGTGCGGTGGTTCATGCCAGTAATCCCAGCACTTTGGGAGGCTAAGGCTGGCAGATCACTTGAGGTCACGAGTTCATAACCAGCCTGGCCAACATGGTGAAACCCTGTCTCTACTAAAAATACAAAAATTAGCTGGGCGTGATGGCATGTGCCTGTAATCCTAGCTACTCGAGAGGCTGAGGCAGGAGAATCGCTGGAACCCAGGAGGCGGAGGTTGCAGTGAGCTGAGATCGCGCCACTGCCCTCCGGCCTGGGCGACAGAGCGAGACTGCATCTCAGAAATAAATAAATAAATAAAAACAAAACTAAAATAAGAGGTAATAGTTACTACAGCATGATGTTATTGTAAAAATTAACTGTGATAATATATATATAAAACCTTTAGCCCAGTGCCTGGCATCTAATAAGTACTTAATTTGTGGCAGTTTTGGTTTTTGGTTTTTCAGTAGAGGATAAGCGCAGGCTGGTTGACAGCAGTGGTCACAGAAGACTGAGGGTGGTGGGCCTGTGGATAGACAGCCCCAAAGAAAGCCTACCTGGGGCTTTGGGGCTGGATGCAAGGGCAGGTGCTCTAGCTGTTTCAGAGCAGAAGAGTGATATGATCAGATGCAAACATTGCTCCAGATGGTATAGGGCTGGCTTGAAAGGGCTTGGCTGGAAAGGAAGCTTGGAGAAAGGCTGCTGCGGTTTGTAGAGGGTCCAGGTTCAGTCAGAGTCTGGGTGAGGACAGTGACTGCAGAGATGGCCCCTCCTCATATGCCCACCCTCACTGATCAGACTGTCTATGGCTCCTGTCCCCTGCCCCCTCCTCCCACCACACTGCTGGCACACAGGGGAGGGGGCAACCATCCCCACCCCTCTCTCATTGGCAGTTGGCGCAAAATTGCTGCTTTATGGGTGGCCTAGGGTACAGCCATACGTGTGTCCTGGATACAGTCCCCATGTAGCTGCGGTCATGTGTGCATGTACATGTGGGGATGAGCACACCAGAAGGAACAGAGGGAGCCCACAGATGAGTAACAGCATTCACTGCTGCCTCTCCGAGTATTTTTAAATGCTAAAAATACTGGCTAAAAATAGCCAGCAAGCTCCAAACAAGATACTTTCTCTAGACAGATTCGTGAGCTTCCCTGTTAGGTGGAGAGGTGGAGCATCAGAAACAAAACCCAAAGACCCCTGATCTTCAAGCATGGCTATGTCAGAGTAGAACGCTTGCCCCCACGCCAGTTGAGTGCCTGTTTCCCCACGATTGTGTTACTTTCTCCCCGCCTCCCCAAAACAAGTCAAACTTGAGAGTGGGAGAGCTGGAGCTGGGTAATTGGTTAGAAGGGACCAGAAAAGGTTCTTTTCAAGAGCCAAATGAGAAGGTAACCTATTGGACCTTACAAAATATGAGCACTGCCTCTCTTGATAAGGGGCCAAACAGGACTGTTGTGAGGAGGGCAGCTCAGTCCCTAGGCCCTGAAGGTTCATCTTCTTAACCTGGGTCCATTGACCTCCACAGACTGCATGAATTTTGGGCTTCACGGGGGGGCCTGAGTCCCCCCACCAAGGTTAGACAAAAGTTTCTGCATATGCATATTTCGCCCTGAAGAGAGTAGAGCTTTCATCACGTTCTCAAAATGGTTTGCAGCCCCACCAAGAGTTAGGAAGTGTATGCTGCCTTGAGGGAAGCTCACCCGGCTGGCACTGGGTCTTGGGGAGACGTCCTCTGCGGGCCCCAAAGATCACTTATCCTGAGCTGAGCCTCAACCCCGAGGCCGGCCAGGGCCTCCGGGCTCCGGTCCTGCCTACCCCGCGGGCCTGCCTGGCCGGGGGTCAGCCGGCTGGGGGTCCGGGGGCGCGCGGGGGACGCTCGGTGGGGTAGGACCGACCTTGCCGCCTCGCCTGGGTCCGCGTGCCGGCGCCGGGGGCGGGGCGGAAGCGGGGAGAGGCGGGGGACAGGAGGGACGGGGCAGGATGGGCGGGGCTGAGGGCCTGGCCCCGCCCCAGTGTGACGTCGCGGGGCCCGAGGCGCCGGCGGGGCCGCCAGTCGGCCGGAGCGCGAGAGCCGGGACCCGGGCGGTTGGCTGCGCACGCTGGGGAGGTTGAGGCGGAGGAGCGCGCGTTGGGGCCCGCGGTAACCGTTACCTCCAGGCGCCGCGGACCGTGTCCTGTGGCGGTGTCGTCGGCCTCGGCGTCCGGACTGTGGCACCGCGCGGGGACTTCCCCCGCGCCCCCGCTGCCAACGTTAGGCGAGGGCCAGAGCCCGCCGCCCGCCCCCCAGCATGCGCACCTCGTACACCGTGACCCTGCCCGAGGATCCCCCCGCCGCCCCTTTTCCCGCCCTCGCCAAGGAGCTGCGGCCGCGCTCCCCTCTCTCCCCGTCCCTGCTGATCTCCACCTTCGTGGGGCTCCTGCTCAACAAAGCCAAGGTACGCGGGCCCTTTTCCGGGATCCCCGCGCCGAGGGCCTGGGGTCCCGTTTTCTCCCCGGATCCCGCCCGCCACGCGCCCCTCGGCAAGGGGACGGATTCTTCCCAGCCCCCTCCTTTCCCAGGGTCTCCTGGCAAGGAATGCCCCCTCCCCAGGTGATCTCACGCTTACTCGCGGTCCCCTCCCCTGGTGGAGGTCCGAGGAGGCCCCCTTGTCCCCTCCCTGTCAGTGACCCCGGCACCAGGTGGTGACTGTTGGCCTCTCAATTGCTGGCACCTATCTGGACAGGTTCAGGAAAGCGTAACCTTGACTGGGTCTTGGTTGGTGTGCTGGGGCAGCACGCTGGGCCCTAAGGGGGTACTCCTCCCAGGCCAAACTCAGGCCAGGAAAGCTGGGCACAAAGGGGCCACCTCCCCCTCACTGTCCACCAAGGGCTCTTTCTCAAGGGTTGGTGACAGGGGTCCTTCGAACCTGTGAAGGGCAGAGGAGGTGCAGACAGGTGACAGAGGGCAACTTCCCTTTCTTTCCGCCCTCTCCATTTCTGCAGTGGTCAGTGGGTCCCTCCGTGGAAGCAGCCCCCAGGGGAATGCCAGGGCCGAGGCTGGGCGCTGCCCGCTGGGGAAAGGAAAAGGGGCCCCGGCTTGACAGGTCTTATGTAACAGGCACCAGCTCCCATGCTGGCAGTGCGTGCCTTGCCCCGTGCCAGGGCCACACCAGTCTTCCCAGCTGCAGCCAGGACTCAGGGCCGACCCTCACTGCACAGGTTGAAGTAGGGGGGAAAGCCCTTGACTGGGGTCTCAAGTGTGAAGACACAAACCTCAATCGGCCTCTCCTATGGTAGGGTGCCCAGATGCTACCTCCGCATTAACCCAGGCAGGGCTCTCCTGAGCCCCCGCTTCTCCACTGGAAGGTGAATGCTGTCTATTTGCTGATGGTGAAGGTGCCATCTGGTCTCTGCAACAGTGCTTGCTACTGAGTGAGAACTAGGTTTGCTGATGGCTACGTGGAAGGAGGAAGCCTGGGTCCAAACTTTGTCAACTCTTTGCACATGTGTCCCAGCCTAACAGGGTCATTTCCTTCTCTGGCTTTCACAGTAAGAGGCTGGCTGTCTGGGGTCTCCCACCTTCTGCACATCTAGCCCCTTTCTCTCTCTTGGCCCTGAGGAAGGATTGTTTGCCCTGTAAGGAAGGTCACTCTGGGGACATTTTGTTCCCCTCTCAAATGGAAAGTGCTGACTTTCCCTGGGGCTCCTGATTTCCTATTCTTGGCAGAAGAATATCTGGCTGGGCATAGAGCAGCCCCACTCCCCGCCTCCTCTGTTGCCCCCCACTCCTGTTGTCCACCTGCCTTCTACACAGAGCACCTAGAAATTGGCATGTGGTTTTGAGCTCAAGAAATTTTAGACAAAGGCATCAACCCCTATAACATAACACCCCCACAACATAGCAACCAAGGGTCCTAAGGATGCCTTAAAGGAGCTTCTCCCATCTCCTCACCCCCCCAGGCCAATAGAGGGGTTAGATCCTCAAGAATAGTAATCATGGGTGACGAAGTGTTCTTCTTGCCCCTCACTCCTGGGTCAAAATTAAGTGTCCACATCTTAAAACACCACAGGAGTGCCTCCGTGGAAAGATGACTCTGTTTTCCCATTTCCCCACCCCCACTAGCACTGAGTGACTGTTGTCTCAGCTGAGAGCCTGCTTTGGTGAACATTGACATGGTCACCAGTGGTAGAAACCCGACAGCCTATTTAGAGAGATGTCATCTGAGGCATGGGGGCTAAGAACTAATAAAGTCAAAAATAGACATAAGAGTGGGTATTCTGTTGTGGGCTAGCTTTAACATTGAGTTCCGAGTGGGCAGCATGGAGACTTTTGCAGCATTTCACCAATTTTGGAAAATGCTAAGAAGGTCTTTGTCCCAGGGGAATTATCTGTTTCGGCCCTCTTGCTGTCAGTAAGTCGGATTCAGATGTTGTTTGGGGCCATATACTGCCAGCCCTACCCAAGTTCTCCAAGGATGCTTCTATCCCACCTGCTGCCAATTGGCTTTTCTCTCTAGCTGCAGGTTTAAACTGGGTCTCTTTTCTGGGTATATTTTTCTTCTCTATCTGTTAGTGTTAGCCCTGACAACTGGCCAGGAAGGGATCCTCTTACTTGTGGGATCCGTAAGGCAGTTCTTGAGAAAAGCCCTCCTTCAGCCTGCTCCTTCCCCCACCCCCTCCCCCCAGCTGACAACCTCATGGGCTTTGAGCTGCTGACAGCCTCATAGGCTGTCAGCACACGGCATGAGTAATTTTAGCTGAGTTATTTCAGGCTCCTGTTCTGATCAGAGCTGAGCTGGCCCCACGCATGCCCCAGTGTTGCTCCAGAGTTGCCTGCTCCCAGTCCCCTCCCTGAGAGAGGGGGTGGCAGACTCATCTGCAAACTGTTTCTTTAACCCTTTGAGCCTGAAGGTTTTCTGACTCCTTGGAGATATGCCCAGGATTAGCCAAGAGACTTTGACAAATAAGCTCAGAGTCCTCGATCCTGCACCTGTTCTCTTTCCAACCCCCTCACCCGCCTCCGCTATAAGGCCAGCAGCAAGAGTGGCACTTTCAGCCAGGCCCTAGCCTCTGCAGGCCCAATCTGCCATCACAAGGACGGCAGTGGCCAGTCAGGATGTTGAAACCTGAGCCAGGCAGGGAGGATTCTCCCAGCCTTTTAATCAGCCCTTAGGAGCTGAGCTCAGCTGGAAGGAATTCCACCTGTCTCTGGCAATTCAGAATGGCAGCTTACTGGAGTTTTTCCCAATGAAGATCAAAACTCAAGGTGTTTTGTGGCTTAGCTTTTCAAAACCTCCTTAAAGCGTCCATTATGAGAGCTACTTTATATATTGGACTTCTAGGAGTACAAATATAGGTCATTTGAGATAGCACCTGGATTTGGGACTCGAAATTTGTTACAGCAAGGAGTCAATATGTACCAAATATGTGAATTCCTAATCTCCACTGTAGCAGAGAATGGACAATAACATCAAATGGGGGGCAAGGAGATACGTACTCCAATACATACTCAACAAAAGCAAAGCCCTGACGAATATTTTTGTTGGATGTTGAAAATAATAGGCATTCCTCAATCCTCTTTCCTACAAGGTACATAGATGGGTAAAGTTGAAGAAAGAATATTATGTATGGCCTGCTGCCTGTGGCTCCAGTAAATTGCACAAGAGCCCAGCACAGGCCTACCATCTTTGCTTCCACCTGATCACCATGTGTTCTTTGCTTACAGAATTCTAAGAGTGTCCAGGGTCTGGCTGGTCTTCGAAACCTTGGGAACACGGTGAGTTCTTCCTGGCCCGCTTCTGCCCCAGGCCTACCCACTACTATCCTGACTGGAGCCATATAACCAGAGTCCCCTCCTGGCTGTGTCTGACTCCATACCCGCTCAGCCAGTTGGCACCTGCCCCTCCTGGCTGGTGTTTCACAGAATTGCTGGGCTGTGCTTTACCCACCCCCAGCAGGAAGCAATGCTAAAAGGGAGTTGCCCTTTTACCCGTCAGTTTGCTCCTCTCCTGGATCCTTCCCCTCAGGGACGCCCATCACTTCCCGCACACTTCTGTCCGTCATGTCCACGCCCTTTTGCACACCTCTATAGTAAATAACCAATGATGTCACCTATGCCTGGAGTGGGGATTTGCCTCACTTCACCCCTTTCACCTATGAAAAGAAGAACTTGAGCCTATGAGAGGATTCATTTCTAGGAAGATGAAGTTGCTAGTAAGTAGCAGAAGTGCAGGCAGGACTCTCGTCTCCCCTCTGATTGCCTGGTCATCTCTTGCAGTGCTTTATGAACTCAATTCTGCAGTGCCTGAGCAACACACGGGAGTTGAGAGATTACTGCCTCCAGAGGCTCTATGTGCGGGACCTGCACCACGGCAGCAATGCACATACAGCCCTCATGGAAGGTAAGGGGCCTCCATGTGCGCCTGCCTCCCCTCCTGATGCTCTCCACTTCACTGGGGCTGTTCTAGGAGTTGTGTCTGAGACACTCCTGTCCTGTCGTTCTCTGCTTGCTTTTTGTTGGGATTCTAGTTTCAGAGTTTCTTACAGAAAATATCTTAGCTGTCCTACACACCCTCTCCTTCCAATAGAGTTTGCAAAACTAATTCAGACCATATGGACCTCATCCCCCAATGATGTGGTGAGCCCATCTGAGTTCAAGACCCAGATCCAGAGATACGCCCCACGCTTCGTTGGCTATAAGTAAGGGCCTTGCAGACACGTCCTCCTTAGTGGGTGGCAGGAGGAGCAGGTTCTTAGGACAAGAGATGTTGCTCACCGTCCTTCCTTTGGGTTCAGTCAGCAGGACGCTCAGGAGTTCCTTCGCTTTCTTCTGGATGGGCTCCATAATGAGGTGAACCGAGTGACACTGAGGCCTAAGTCCAACCCTGAGAACCTCGATCATCTTCCGTAAGAGGAGAATGCTGTGGGGAAAAGCAAAACTTTTGTGAAGCTGAGATTTTTACCTACCACTTTAGGGTTAATGATTTGAGGAGAATCTGATTTACTTTTGAAGATTAAGAATCTAGATTGACAGACCCTTAAACGTAAGTTTTGAGCTCTGACCCAATTGTCTTCTCTCTCTGGTTCCCAGTGATGATGAGAAAGGCCGACAGATGTGGAGAAAATATCTAGAACGGGAAGACAGTCGGATCGAGGGTAAGCACATGGAAGGGAAGATGCCTATTTTCACTGTTACCTGCTCTTGCCTGAGGGGAGAATGAAAAGCCTACGAATCACTCTCCCGGGGAAGCCTGTTTCTGTCCCGTGTCCAACAAACCAAAGCAGGAGCAGCAAGAAAGAAGATGCTGTGCAGGCCGGCCACAGTGGCTCACGCCCGTAATCCCAGCACTCTGGGAGGCTGAGGTGGGCGGATCACCTGAGGCCAGTCTGGCCAATAGGGCAAAACCCCATCTCTACTAAAAATACAAAAATTAGCTGGGCGTGGTGGTGGGCACCTGCAATCCCAGCTACTCCAGAGGCTGAGGCAGAAGAATCACTTGAACCCAGGAGGCAGAGGTTTCTGTGAGCATAGATGGTGCCACTGCACTCCAGCCTGAGCCACAGAGTGAGACTCTGTCTCAAAAAAAAATAAAAGAGGCTGTGCAGAAGACCATGCTCTACTTCCTGTATTTCAGCATCTCATGGCCTTTTCTTCCACAGATCTCTTTGTTGGGCAGCTAAAGAGCTCCCTGACATGTACAGATTGTGGTTACTGTTCTACAGTCTTTGACCCCTTCTGGGACCTCTCACTGCCCATTGCTAAGGTAGGCACCCCAGTTGTCCCCCTCTTTGAACTCCCTCTCCCATCCTTTCATGTGATGACCTCTGACCTTTGCTTTTTTTCCCTTTCCAGCGAGGTTATCCAGAGGTGACATTAATGGACTGCATGAGGCTCTTCACCAAAGAGGATGTGCTTGATGGAGATGAAAAGCCAGTAAGTCACCCTTCGGTAATAGCAAGAACACATTTCCATGGGACCTACTGGGAAGATGCTGATACCAGCAGATCCAGCTGAGGAGTGATTGGATTGGGGCCCACTGACTTCCCCCCACAAGTTCTTTGTTTGTCTTATCTCAGACATGCTGTCGCTGCCGAGCCAGAAAACGATGTATAAAGAAGTTCTCCATCCAGAGGTTCCCAAAGATCTTGGTGCTCCGTATCCTTAAGATCCATCAGGGCTGGGACATGACTTTCAAGGGTGACTGATGTTAGGGGGCCAATAGATGAGGGGAACAGAGCCATAGGAAATGGACCGTGTAGTCTTTCCTTTTGCTGTCTGCTCTTGTGCGTTGGTTTGACTGTCCTTGACTCAAGCCAATGCCAGATCTGAAGCGGTTCTCAGAATCCAGGATCCGAACCAGCAAGCTCACAACATTTGTGAACTTCCCCCTTAGAGACCTGGATTTAAGAGAATTTGCCTCAGAAAACACCAGTGAGTAGCTTTGAGTAGGCAGGGCAGAATGAAGCCGCAGGTGTGCAAGGCCGGAGGGGAGGGAGGGTAGTGGCCAGCGAGCTGCTGCCAGACCAGGAAGGAAAGGCTGGAGGGAGGGAGTGGGGGCACGGGGGGCCTCAGGGGCTTGACAGCTGCCTCTTCCTCAGACCATGCTGTTTACAACCTGTACGCTGTGTCCAATCACTCCGGAACCACCATGGGCGGCCACTATACAGCCTACTGTCGCAGTCCAGGGACAGGCGAGTGGCACACTTTCAACGACTCCAGGTGAGAGCCAGGGCTGGGCCGGGGCCCCTGACTGTAGCCACCCCACCCCGCACGGCTTCCACTAGAATGGAAGGGGAAGTTCAGGGCCACGAAGCCGCTGCCCGTGGGGAGGCTCCCTGAAAGCAAGGCCGGCTGCGGGGGCACGGCTGAAGAGGCCAGCGCGGGGTCTCCGGGTCCTGCCCTCTCTCCGGGCTGACTCCCGTTCTCTCCGCAGCGTCACTCCCATGTCCTCCAGCCAAGTGCGCACCAGCGACGCCTACCTGCTCTTCTACGAACTGGCCAGCCCGCCCTCCCGAATGTAGCGCCAGGAGCCGCGTCCCTTCTCCCTTCCCCGTGGTGGCCCCGCTCCCTGACTTTTTCAAAAAGACAAAAACAACAACAACAAAAAGAAAACACAAGCCTGACAAGAGAAAAACAAACCTGAAGCTGCCGAGCAGGAGTGGATGCAGCCTGGTCAGGGTCTGGAGCAAGGAGCCGGGCGCTCCCGAGCCGTGGCCCGGCAGGGAAGACCGCCTGGATATGGAGCCAGCGTCGCCCCGTGCCCGCGGCGTCTCCGTTTGTATTTGTAAGCCCGTGGTCTTCCTGTGTGTCCGCAACAGCCGTGTCTGTGGGGAGAAGACCCTCGCTGCCCCGCTGCCCGCCGCAGCGCCGACGCCTCCGGGGGGACAGCGCCCTCTGGAGCCCGCTGGGAGCATCGCCGCCTGGACGCCCGCGCCGCGGAGGACCGGCGCCCATCTGCGCCCGCACCGCTTGCCCGTCCAGAGCCGAAAAACACCCATGAGCCAAGAGCCCTCTTCACGCTGCTAACTCCAGGGGACAGACGAAGGGACATCTTTGGAAAACGCTGGTTTTGGTTTTTAAAAATCCCAACTTTTTTTTTTTAATTTCTGTAACTAAAGTGTTTAGACTGGAATGCTCTCCTTCAGGCCTCTTCACAGCTGGGACATTGCACTGGTCTTTTTTTTTTTTTTTCCAAGTACTACTTTTTTAATCTAGCCCCCCATGGTGCTAAGTGGGCGTTAGCCAGGCCCCAAGCACAACCACAGTAGACCTGGGATCTAAAACAAGTTTCTGTTTTGGGGGTTTGGTGGTCCTGTTTTGTTTTTTAATGTTTTGAATGGAATCTAGTTGCCTCCAAGAATTGTGCCTTATAGCATTTGGGGACCAGGGGGTAACTGCCCCTCCCTGAAATATCCCTCAGCCTCTTCCCTTTTCCCCAGTGCTGTGTTCAAACCCGCCCGGGGAGGGGTCCTGCTCTTAGCTGGTTGTGCATTGCACTGACTCGAAGAGGAAAGCAGGTAGAAGGAGATTCCTTCCCACAGTGCATCAAGTTCTTCCCGCCCACACCCTCTAACCCGCCCCTGGTCTGCTCCCCAGCTGTTTGAAGGATAGCACAAGCCCCTCATCCCTAGAGCTTCTCTCTCTTATTTATTCTCTTAACATCCCTTTCCCCCTGGCCTTCCTGCACCCACCCCCTTCTCAGAGCCTCCTAGACATAGCCCCTTTGGACCGAGTTTCTCAGGGATGCCCAGGCCGCCCCTCAGCTCCTCTTGGTGTTGGTCTTCAGTCCTGCAGTGGGAGCTGGAGCCTGGGTATTTGGGGACATCTTGCCTCAGTGGTATGGTTCCTTCCCGTGGGCTCAATTTTGCCCTACATAGCTGGACAAAGCTCTGTGCTGTCCTAGAGAGTAAGGCTGTCCAGCGCCAAGGACTGAAGCACTGTGCACCTGTGCACACCCACACAGCTGGGCCCAGCTTGTGCCCCGCAGAGCCTGGCATCTTCCAGGCTTCCAGGAGGAGGCATCAGAGAAAGATACCCTGAGTTTTACTGGCCTGACACCCTTCTACAGGGAAGACCTGTGAACCTGAGCCCAAGGGCAAGTGTACACTTGTTTACTGTGTAAGCAAGAGTAGAAGAATGTCTAATGTACAGTGGAACCTTGTACAGAATAAATAATAGCTTTGAGAAATCAGTCAGCAGATGTTGGGATCTTGATTTGGGAGTGTTTGTACCTAGGAAGGGCTCCTAGTATATTAGGGGCCATCTATTTCAATGCTTCAACCAGTTTGTAAATTCCAAGTTTCTGGAAAAAGTTGCCCACTTTTTAGTTTAAAAATTTCAATTCTGTAATCCCAGCACTTTGGGAGGCTGAGGCGGGTGGATCACGAGGTCAAGAGATCGAGACCATCCTGGTCAACACGGTGAAACCCCGTCTCTACTAAAAAAAAATACAAAAAAAAAAAAAAAATTAGCTGGGCATGGTGGCGCGTGCCTGTAATCCCAGCTACTCAGGAAGCTGAGGCAGGAGAATTGCCTGAACCCAGGAGGCGGAGGTTGCGGTGAGCCGAGATCGCGCCATTGCACTCCAGCCTGGGTAACAAGAGCAAAACTCCGTCCCAAAAAAAAAAAAAAAATTTCAATTCTATTTTTGTTTAAACAATACACATTTTGGACACTATATTCTTCATCTGGATTCACCAATCGTTGACTACATGCACGTTTAAATATACAACCATCCCCCAGTATACACAGGGAGATTTGTTCCAAGATACACGCATACCAAAATCTGCACCATACCATATTCAAGTCCCAAGGTCAGCCCTGCAGAACCTGTGTATATTAAAATCAACCTTCTATGTACGTGGATTTCACATCTCACAAAAGCAGTATTTTCTTTTTTTTTTTTTTTTGAAACGGAGTTTCACTCATGTTACCCAGGCTGGAGTGCAATGGCGTGATCTCAGCTCACCGCAACCTCTGCCTCCTGGGTTCAGGCAATTCTCCTGCCTCAGCCTCCTGAGTAGCTGGGATTACAGGCACACACCACCATGCCCAGCTAATTTTTTGTATTTTTTTTTTAGTAGAGATGGGGTTTCACCATGTTGACCAGGATGGTCTCGATCTCTTGACCTCGTGATCCACCCGCCTCGACCTCCCAAAGTGCTGGGATTACAGGCTTGAGCCACTGCACCTGGCCAAAAGCAGTATTTTCTATCCTTGTTTGGTTGAAAAACATCCATGTGAAAGTGGACCCACACAGTTCAAGCCTGCATTGTTCAAAGGTCAACTGTATTCTCTCTGCCGAAACATTTATAGGTCAGGTGTTATATTGCCACTTCTAAATGCTTGAGCATACATCTCCTAAGAATCAGGACATTCTCCTATGTGATATGGTTTTCACATACCTAATACACATTTTTTTTTTAATAGAGATGGGGTTTCACCATGTTGGCCAGGATGGTCTCGATCTCTTGACCTCATAATCCACCTGCCTCGGCCTCCCAAAGTGCTGGGATTACAGGTGTGAGCCACCATGCCCGGTCTCTAATACACATTTTTTAATGAACTATCTGCTTTTTAACTGCTGGTATGTGATACTCTCTTGATTCTCGGTTGAAACTCTTGGGACCAGGCATGGTGGCTCTCACCAGTAATTCAAGAGGTTGAGGTGAGAGGATAGTTTAAGGCCAGGACTTTGAGACCAACCTGGGTGACATAGTGAGATTTTGTCTCTATTAAAACACACACAGGGCCGGGCACGGTGGCTCAAGCCTGTAATCCCAGCACTTTGGGAGGCCGAGGCGGGTGGATCACGAGGTCAAGAGATCGAGACCATCCTGGTCAACACGGTGAAACCCCGTCTCTACTAAAAATACAAAAAATTAGCTGGGCATGGTGGCGCGTGCCTGTAATCCCAGCTACTCAGGAGGCTGAGGCAGGAGAATTGCCTGAACCCAGGAGGCGGAGGTTGCGGTCAGCCGAGATCGCGGCCATTGCACTCCAGCCTGGGTAACAAGAATGAAACTCCGTCTCAAAAAACATGCCCAGCTAATCACACACACACACACACACACACACACGGCTGGGCACAGTGACTCACACCTGTAATCCCAGCACTTTGGAAGGCCAAGGTGGGTGGATCACAAGGTCAGGAGTTCAAGACCAGCCTGGCCAAGATGGTGAAAGCCTGGCCTGGTGGCGGGCACCTATAATCCCAGCTACTCAGGAGGCTGAGGCAGAGAATTGCTTGATCCCGGGAGGTGGAAGTTGCAGGGAACTGAGATTGCGCCATTGTACTGCAGCGTGGGCGACAGAGCAAGACTCCATCTCAAAAAAAAAAAAAAAAAAAAAACCACTTGGGTGTCTTTACAGACCTATGATGAGCTAAAATACATCTCTCCAGCAGATGCTGAATACAGCAAAACTTGCTCTTAGAGCAGAGTCTCATTAGCTGGATATGGAGTGACCAGGGCTTAGTCTTTGATAAATCAAACATCTCAACTTTCCCCCCAATACTTAAAACAGTTCCCTTTATGTTACAGACTTTGTTTCCTAAAGTGCTTTTTCTCAAGACTTCAGATTTAACCCCTTAAAGAGGTGATGTCAGCCAGGCATTGTAGCTCACACCTGTAATACCAGCACTTTGGGAGGCTGAGGTGGGCGGATCACAAGGTCAGGAGTTCGAGACCAGCCTGACCAACACGGTGAAACCCTGTCTCTACTAAAAATATAAAAATTAGCCAGGTGTGGTGGCAGGAGCCTGTAATCCCAGCTACTCAGGAGGCTGAGGCAGGAGAATCGATTGAACCCAGGAGGTGGAGGTTGCAGTGAGCTAAGATTGTGCCGTTGCACTCCAGCATGAGCAACAGAGCAAGACTTCGTCTCAAAAAAGAAAAAAGTCTGCCTTCTTTGGTGCACTCAGGACCCATGTCTCCTTTGGTCTCACCTCTTCATTAGCACTGTTCAGCTTTTCCATTTCTGCTCTGCTCTTAGAACTAGAAAAGCTGAAGCCTCCACCAGGTGAGCCTGAAGTATTTCATCAGGACTCTTCCTCACTGCCTTCACTGCTCCAGACACTGAAGAATAAAAGCCTGACTCTTCCATCCTTCCAGACACAGAAGCACCTGCTATCACTTCAGGCCTGTGTGCTGCTGTCAGACCCACCTCATGGAGGAGGACAGTTGTGGGGGCATTTTTCTGAGCATTTTCCAAGAGTGCAGAAGAGGAATTGAAAATAACAGTGACTCAAAACCTGGAATTTCTTCCCGAAGGGCTCAAACTTCCCTGGCCTGCCCTGGGGGTGGCCTGACCCAGGGTGTCATTGGAAATCTTACCCTGATGATTGCCCCCAAGCCACAGACAAACAGGATCCCCTCAGAATAAAAACATGAGGCTTGTAGTAAAGTGAATGGCTGCACTCTGACTGGTTCTTCGCTGGAGGTAGAAGCAGCTCTGGAATTTTTGTTGTCTTCCACCGGGGAACAGATGGACTCTAGGCGACATGGAGGGCAGGGGCTCCACTCAGGCCCGCCACCTTGCTCCCAGCTCTTCAGTAATTAATCTGTGGTGCTTTCTTATCCCCAAGACAACAGGTCCTAGTGTTACAGAGACCACAAACACACGTGGGTCTGTCCCCACTTTTTTTGTCCATCAAGCTTTGCCCCTAGCAACTTGGCTTTCTTCCCGAATTGTTTGCTCTGGATCCAGCAGGCCTCTCCCTAGGGGAGGGGCTTCCCCAGCAACTACCCTTGTGTGACCTTGAACAAGAACCTCCCTCTTTCTGGGCCTCCATGCCTCGTCTGCAAATTACTGAGATTGGACTTGAGGATCTTGAAGGTCTCCACTCCGGTGGTATTAATCTTTCTAAGTCACTTTTCCTCTAAATACATGCTGAAGTCCCAAGACAGGAAACTTAGCTCTGGTTCCCTGTTTATAGAATTAATGTTTTTAAGTTACCAATGCTCAGAAAATGCTTATTTCTCTCTATAAAGCTTTATTTTTTTTTATTTTTTTTTTTGAGACAGTCTCACTCTGTCGCCCAGGCTGGGAATAACAGTGACTTGATCTCAGCTCACTGCAACTCCACCTCCCCAGTTCAAGCGATTCTTGCGCCTCAGCCTCCCGAATAGCTGGGATTACAGGCACCCACCACCATGCCCTGCTACTTTTTGTGTTTTTAGTAGAGATGGGATTTCACCATATTGGCCAAGCTGGTCTCAAACTCCTGACCTCTGGTGATCCACCCACCTTGGCCACCCAAAGTGCTGGGATTACAGGCATGAGCCTCCGTGCCCAGCCTCTATAAAGCTTTAGAGTTAGATCATAGAGGTCACCTTGTCCATGATCTCATTTTGGCAGTGAGGATACTGAGCCCTAGAGAAGGCTTGCTCAAGGCCACATAGCATGTCAGAAGCAGAGGCAGGATGGAACCCAAGTATCTTGACTCCCTCCTCAGTTCTCTTTCTGAGTACTCTGCCTTTAGTTTGAATAACTGACAGCATTTTGCAGGACTTTCTGCAAGGAACTGAGCCAAACAGCAATGTGACATTCACACGTACCCAAGAGCAAAACCACCATGATCTGCCCCCTACCGCGGCCCTAGTAGGTCTGTCTGAGCTGGACACCCCTGAGGGTGCGCATCCTTCATTGCTGTATGAGCAGAAGCAAGCCTCTGTGCAGGAGGCAGGAGGCAGCAGAGAGAGACGAGCATTCACAGCCCCAGCAAGTTACTCGATCTCTCCGAGCCTCCATTTTCTCATCTGTAGTCTGAGCATAACATGACCTCTTCAGAGTTGTGAGTGCCAGTTAAGAAAAACTGTCTGGCCAGGCACGGTGGCTCATGCCTGTAATTCCAACACTTTGGAAGGCCAAGGTAGGCAGATCACTTTAGCTCAGGAGTTTGAAACCAGCCTGGGTAACATGGCGAAACCCTGTCTTACAAAAAGTACAAAAGCTGGCCAGGCATAGTGCCAAACACCTGTAGTCCCAGCCACTTGGGAGGCTGAAGTGGGAGGATCAATTAACGAGGAGGTCGAGGCTGCCGTGAGCTGTGGTCACACCACTGCACTCTAGCCTAAGCAACAGAACAAGACCCTGTCACAAAAACATGAAGGGGAGAGGAAAGAAAAGAGGAGGGGAGGGGAGGGGAGGGGAGAGAGGAGGGAAGGAGGGAGGAGGGAAGGGAGAGAGAAAAGAAGGGAGGGAGGGAGGGAGGGAGGGAAGGAAAGGTGTCTGGCACATAGTAAGTACTCAACAATTCAACAAGCGTCCATTTTTCCTGCTCAACTCCCATTTCCAAGACTATACCATCAAAGCTCCATTAAGACTCTCATGGTGGGTGATCCTCAGCAAAATTTTTTTTAACCAACATTGTCCCTATTTAGCAAATGTTTAATTCCTCTCATCTCTCTGGATGCTTCTACCTTCTTTATCCTGAACAGCATACTTGAGATGTATAAGTATAACATTGCCCAAACTCAACAGCATGCCCGTTAAATAGGCATTCTAAAATCAAGGAATTAGCTTTTCCAATTTCCTGATATTTGGGGGCATCTGCCTCTTGGCGGTAGTAATGGGATTGAGCTGCTATCTCCCAGGCTTCTAAAGACTAGGGAAGCCTATAATCTCAGCAGTTTGGGAGGCAAGGCAGGAGTTGCTTGAGCCAGGAGTTCGAGACCTGGCAACATAGGGGGACCCATTCTCTACAAAATTAGTGGAGCATGGTGGTGCACACCTGTAGTCCTAGCTTTTCAGGAGGCTTAGGTAGGAGGATTGCTTGAGCCTAGGAGGTAGAGGCTGCAGTGAGCTGTATTGCCCAGGCTAGAGGGCAGCGGCCGGATCTCAGCTCGGCTCACTGCAACCTCCCCTTCCTGGATTCAAGCAATTCTCCTGTCTCAGCCTCCCGAGTAGCTGGGACTACAGGCATCCACCACCACGCCCAGCTAATTTTTGTATTTTTAGTGCAGACTGGGTTTCACCTTGTTGGTCAGGCTGGTCTTGAACACCTGACCTCAGGTGATCCGCTCATCTTGGCCTCCCAAAGTGCTGGGATAACAGGGATGAGCCACTGTGCCTGGCCACCCACTTATAGTCTTAAAAATTATGGAGAATCCCAAAGAACTTTGGTTTGTGTGGGTTCTATCTATTAATATTTAACAAATTAATATTAAAACTGAGAGAAATTTATTTTCTTACTAATTTTTAAATAATAAATTTTAATATGATAAACCCTTTACATGCTAACATAATTTTTTAAAAACCGCATACTGCCAGCACTTTGGGAGGTTGAGGTAGGAGGGTCACTTGAGTCCAGGAGTTTGAGACTATCTTTGACACCATAGTGAGACCCCAATCTCTACTAAAACTATAAGTAAATTTAAAAAAAAAAAAAACCTATATTTTCTGAAAAAAAAAATTAGTAAGAAGGGCAGCGTGGTTTTACATTTGTGCAGACCTCTTTAGCATCTGGCTTAAGAGAAGGCAGCTGGACTCGCGTCTCCTTCGGCATTCAACCCAATGTCATATCACACGTCACGGAGCGTCTGGAAAACATGAATGAGTATGAAAAAGGTACATCAGGTCTTAGGGTTATGATGAGCCTAGTTCTAAGCTCTCAGTCACTCTAAAAGAAGGCCTTGGGCCCCACTTTGAGAACTGTCACAATAGACTAGGGGCTCCTTGAGACAAGGGCATCTTGTCCCAGTTGGCTCCATCAGCCCAGTGCCTGGCCAGACCCTGGCACAGCAGCCTCTCTCTCAATGATCACAGCAAACGAATGGCTTCAGAGGGGCAGGCCCCAGGGCGTGGCTCTCCCAGCTCATCCTCCTCAAAGCTCAGCACAGGGCCACTCTGTCCGTGAAGCTGCCCCTGTGGCAAGGCTGTTAACACTGTGGCAGGGGATCCTTCTCTGTCTTGATCCAGGCAGAATGAGAAGTACTTTGTGGTCTGGGACTGTCTGGTCCTCGTCGAGAACACTCGTCCCTACAACTCCCAGAAAGTCTCTTCCCTAAAGACCAAGTACCCATAGGCTTCCAGGGGTCCAGGAAACAGCTTGATCCCCTAGATAAAGGCAGTCCAAGGCCCTCCAGGGACGAATGGAGAAGAACTTGTGGGTGGAGGCCTCTCCTTTCCTGACTGCAAGGAAAGCAGCCTTGGGATCACAGAATCTGTCCCCTTTGCTTCCATTCCCAAGGGGTTCCTCACTCTGCGCTCGTGTCACTCCCATCCCTCTGCTCCCCCAGCATGCCTCAGCCCCAGTGTGGGGTGAAAGAAGGACATCATTAAAAAACGTGAGCCCGGATCTATCCAGTCCTAGGCTCAACTCTCATCTCTGCATCTTACCAGCTGTGTGACCTTGGGAAAGTGACGTAACCTCTCAGAGCCCAGCACCAGCATTTGTAAAACGGTGACGCTACCTCATAGTTATGAAAGAAGGGAAACTGCATGTAGACCTCTTGCCCAGACATTCTACAAATAGTAGCCAGAAATATGAGGCTATCTCCCCACCCCCCTCCCCGCCAAACCCTCAGCCTAAGTATGGCTAACGCAAAACAGATTACCAATCCCTTTCCTTTCCCCTGAGGACAGCAAGGCTAGGCTGGGATTTTCCAAGAGGGCTTAGCCGATGGAGAAAGAGGCATGAAGTAATCTTGTTTTCAGGGTGTAGGTTTCCTACCGTGTGACAGTGACAGCACCGACAGTTAGACTCCACACCCCAACCCTCTGCAAGACCTAGACACCTTCTCCCCCTTCCCTGTCCTTTCTCCTGTAAGCAGTGCCCTCACCAGCAGGTAAGCAAGCACAGTGCTCCATGCAGAGGGGGAGGGGCACACACTAACACACCTGAGCGCCTGAGTTAGTGTGATGGGAACAGCATGGTAGACACTACCTTGTACTTGGGAACATCAGAAATCAAGCAGACAGGGGATAGGGGAATATTATTTCAGTGTCTGCTGTGTACCCAGATGTTCCCATGCTGGGTAAACTCATCTCTGAAACCAGGTAAGTTAAAGGACCTTCCTCCCTTAAGAGCCACCAATGATGAAAGCGCCACCACACCCCCTCAAGCCTGCAGTGGGGAAGAAGCCTCTTCTGGAGCTCAGCCTGGGTGCCCAGGATGAGACAGGAGAAGGGGCCATGAATCGCTCCACCTGTGCCCTCCCCCAGCTCTGCACCTGGCATATCTCGGTGCCTGCCGGACACGGCATAGAGCTACAGTTCCACAACTTCAGCCTGGAGGCCCAGGATGAGTGCAAGTTTGACTACGTGGATGTGTATGAGATCAGCAGCTCAGGGGCCTTCAGCCTCCTGGGCAGGTAGGGGAGCCGGGGAAGAGCCACGGATAACTCCATCCTTACTGTCTGCCACCCCCGGCTCCCTCCACATCGGCCCAGCACATTCCCCAGCTGTGGGCTTAGGGGTCGCAGGAATGAGCAGCCACTCCCCTGGCTCACACCGTGTTCTCTCCTTGTCCTGATCACACTGGTGATCTACCAGGGCTTCCAAAGACCCAGCCTGGCCAATGCCTTGTCACCCTGGTGGGGAGAAAAGGTGGGCAGCTGGTTTGTCCACCCTCTCCACCCTGCTTCTCTCTTTCTCAAACCGCCCGAGGCTCCCTTCTGCCTGCCACTTCTCTCCCCTCCCAGCACCCCACCCCATGTGCTCACTCAGTGCCTTGGGTGATGGGGATGGAGAGCTCCCCTCGTCACATCCCTGCATAGAGCACCCAGTTTCCTCTACTGGGTGTTCTCAGCCATCGCCTGTGCCTTTAAGAGCTGCCACCCTGTGTCAGGGACTTGACCTCAGCATCCTCAGCTGAGTTGGATTAAGGGACCATTTCATGCCTTTGTGAATTTCTTCTGGCTGCTGTCCCTTCCCCTACACAGAGACAGAGTAGCCCGTAGGCTGAACCACTTTACCAAAGACAGCCCAAGAGCTGGTCTAGCCTGGCAGCCTTTTCCCTCCGGTAGTAGAAGCTGCCCCTTTGATTGGGGGTTTGTGGTCAGAGAGTGGGCCCTTGGGGGTCTTGGACTATCACAGGAACTCTAGAAAGCCATGCAGAGCCTCGGGCCATGAAGGACTACTCAGATGTCATCCTCTATGTGGAGGCAACAGAGTCGAGCAAGGTAAGGGCCACATAGAATCGCGCTCCCAAGACCCAGCACCCCAGTGCTCACCGCTGCCCTCAGCCCTCAAGTCTCTCCCTTTCAGATCGAGTTCTGCAATCCTGCCTTCGAGCCTGAGTCTGGACCACCCTGCCCTCCCCCAGCCTTCCCAGAGGATGCCAGATACAGCGTCCCAGCTCCCTGGCACGGTAACCATCCCAGGGGGTAACATGGGGGAGGACAGAGAGGTCCAGGAGCGAAGGACAGCATGAGGAATGCCTAACAGAAGGGGCCCTCAAAATCCCACCTGCAGGTCGGCGCCCTCGAGGGCTGCAGCCAGACTGCCGCTTCTCCTGGCTCTGCGTGCTCCTGCTCGCTAGCTTGCTGCTCCTGCTGCTGGGGCTGCTGGTGGCCATCATCCTGGCCCGTAAGTACCCAGGGTCTGCTTGAAAGGAGGGCTTTGGAATACAACCCCATGAGCTGCTCTCCCAGCTTCCCAGGATCCTGCTCCTCTGAATGCCGCCGTCCATCTTCCCACCTTTAGAGCTGCAGGCTGCACCCCAATCCGGGACCTCCCATAGCACACTGCCTGCCGGAGGCCTTACCACCACCATCCCCACCATCACGAACTCCCAGGCAGCTGGGACCCCTAAAGGACAGCAGGAGGCAGGCGTGAGCCCCTCCCCACAGTCCAGTGAGTATTCAGGGCAGATCTTCTGGGAGAAGAGCCCAAGATGATGGGGTGGGAGTGAGGGGAGGGTGAGGAAGAGGCACCTTGGAGAATAAAGGACCTCTCTCCTTTTGACCTCTGAACTCTAACCTCCATCTCTGCAGCCTGTGGAGGCCTCCTCTCTGGCCCAAGGGGCTTCTTCAGCAGCCCTAACTACCCAGACCCTTACCCCCCCAACGCCCACTGCGTGTGGCATATCCAGGTAGCCACAGATCATGCAATCCAGCTCAAGATCGAAGCCCTCAGCATAGAAAGTGTGGCCTCTTGCCGTTTTGATCGCTTGGAAATCTCCCCTGAGCGTGAAAGCCCCCTCCTCAGGTATGTCTCTCTGTCCCCAGGACCGCCCACACTGTCCTGAACCACTATCTAAAGGGCTGAATTGGGGAGTGACAGTGGGAAGGGCTGACCCAGGAAGAAACTGAGAGACTGGACCTCTGGGCCCAGCTCTGCCACCACCTTGCTGTTTGCCATGAGGAAGATCACTTCCTCTCTCTGATCTGTTTCCTAACCTGTAACATGGAGCTCCTGCCTCTCTTCCCATGAGTAAATACTACAAGGATAAATGTGCAGGTGCTAGGAAGGTCAGAGCTCCCTGGGACATCAGAGGAGCCTTTTTGACTACATGGTCACCAGTTTGGGGATTGAGAAAATAGGACTGCAGGGCTGAGATGAGCTCCTCTCTGGCTGGCCCTGCTCTCAGAGCCCCCATCACCCCCAACCTGGCTTCTTGCAGGGTTTGTGGGAGGGTGCCTCCCCCCACGCTCAACACCAATGCCAGCCACCTCCAGGTGGCCTTCATCTCTGACAGCAGTGTGGAAGGATTTGGTTTCCATGCCTGGTACCAGGCTGTGGCCCCGGGGCATGGTGAGTGTGTTCCCACCATGGCCCCAGCTGCCTGTTGAGTGTCCACTTTCTTCCCCTCCACCCACTCCGAGCCCTGCCAAAGGGGAGGAGACTCTGGGCATCCCTGACTCCTGATGCCCACACCCAGGGAGCTGTGCCCATGATGAGTTCCACTGTGACCAGCTCATCTGCCTGCTGCCTGACTCAGTGTGTGATGGTTTTGCCAATTGCGCCGACAGCAGTGATGAAACCAATTGCAGTGCCAAGTTCTTGGGTACGGGGCAGGCATGGGGGGGTCCTCTCTTCAGGCATCTGATCTGGGTTCAAGCTGGGGCCTCCAGCTCTGGGTCAGCCTCAAACCAGGGCCTCCACCAGCATTTCCTGCTTGGTCATTCTTTGGCCCAGAACTTGTTTCCCGAGGGCTTGGCCAAAACTGGCTCTGTGATCACTGCTAGCGCTACTGGATGGAGGCACAGATCTAGCAAACTCATGAGCCCTTCCGCCTCTCTACAGGGTGTGGGGGGAATCTGACTGGGCTCCAGGGCACTTTCTCCACTCCTAGCTACCTGCAGCAGTACCCTCACCGGCAGGTAAGCACAGTGCTCCATGCAGAGGGGGAGGGGCACATGCGCCTGAGACCCCGAGTTAGTGTGATGGAAACAGCATGGTAGACATTACCTTGTACTTGGGAAGGTCAGAGATCAAGCAGACAGGAGACAGGGGAATATTATTGAGTGCCTACTGTGTACCCAGATGTTCCCATGCTGGGTTAACTCATCTCTGAAACCAGGTAAGTTAAAGGACCTTCCTCCCTTAAGAGCAACCAATGATGAAAGCGCCACCACACCCCCTCAAGCCTGCAGTGGGGAAGAAGCCTCTTCTGGAGCTCAGCCTGGGTGCCCAGGATGAGACAGGAGAAGGGGCCATGAATCGCTCCACCTGTGCCCTCCCCCAGCTCTGCACCTGGCATATCTCGGTGCCTGCCGGACACGGCATAGAGCTACAGTTCCACAACTTCAGCCTGGAGGCCCAGGATGAGTGCAAGTTTGACTACGTGGAGGTGTATGAGATCAGCAGCTCAGGGGCCTTCAGCCTCCTGGGCAGGTAGGGGAGCCGGGGAAGAGCCACGGATAACTCCATCCTTACTGTCTGCCACCCCCGGCTCCCTCCACATCAGCCCAGCACATTCCCCAGCTGCATTTCCTTTGGCTACTCCAGGCCCCAGGTCTCTTCACCATCACCCTAAAAACAGCTCTCACCTCAAAACCTTCACCCCACACCCTCTCTGTTCCCAAATCTCCCTGCCCCACTTCCTCCCCACCAGAAGGGGCCATTTCCACCTCCCCTACAAACCCTCGTTGATTTTTCTTTTTCTTCTTTTTTTGAGGCAGGGTCTTACTCTGTCGCCCAGGCGGGAGTGCAGTATCGCCACCATGGCTCACTGCAGCCTCAGCTCCCAGGTTCAAGTGCGCCTTCCACCTCAGCCTCCTAAGTAGCTGGGACCACAGGCACATGCCACCATTCTCAGATAATTTATTTTTTTTAATTTTTTTTGTAAAGACAGGGTCTCACTATATCACCCAGGCTGGTTTCGAACTCCTGGGCTCAAGTGATCCTCCCACCTTGGCCTCCCAAAATGCTGGGATTACAGGCTTGAGCCACAATGCCAGGCCCCTTCATTGATTTTTTCCCCCATCTCGAAGTGGTTCAAGTTCAAGCAGTTTGTTTCATGCTTTGCCTGCTCAATATGTGTGTCTTCCTCACCAGACCCTAACCCGGTGTCTCTCGTCACCTTTGGCACTGTCCAGGGCTCCCAGCTCAGAGCCAGACCTGTGGGAGGCTGCAGTGCCCCCTCAGTCAGCCAGGGCTGGTGCCCAGAACTGCTATCTGCTTTGGGCAGGTTCTGTGGAGCAGAGCCACCCTCCCTCCTTGTGTCTTCGCACCATGAGCTGGCTGTGCTCTTTAGGACAGATCATGGCATCAGCAGTGGAGGCTTCTCAGCCACCTACCTGGCCTTCAATACCACGGAGAGTAGGTGCCCCTGGGCAAGTGGGTGTGGGGAGTAGAGGCACCGCAGGGGGACAGAGAAGGGCTCTGGACCCTGGTCAAGACACTCTGTGGGCACTTGGGTGTAGGTGTGCCCCCGGGCACTGCCATGCTCCTTGTGCCTGCAGACCGCTGTGGACCCAGTGAGCTCTCCTGCCAGGCTGGAATGTGTAAGGGTGTGCGGTGGATGTGTGACATGTGGAGAGACTGCGCCGATGGCAGCAATGACAACTGCAGCAGCCCTTTGTTCCCACCCCCAGGTGAGAAACCTACCTCTGGGGACCCTGAGCAGGGCCTGCAGGGGCGAGCAGGCTGGGTGCCCACCTCACAGAACCCTGCTTCGTACTGTGTGGCGTCCCACCCCATCCTCCCTGAGGGGGTAGGGCCAGCTGGCCTCACCATCCTGACTCTGGGGCCACTTCTCAGAGTCCTGGAAGCCACTGGTGGCTGGTGGTGGCAACGGCCCTGAGTGTCATCCCAAGGGAAATGGGAATCTGGGAATCAGTGGTTGGGGCTTCAAGAACCAGTCCCTTCTGTCACCCAGAGCCCCTTTCCACAGCCCACCCCAAAGATGAAGGCATGCTCTTACACAGAGCAGGGGACTTTCTTCCCAATGCCCAAGTGGTCCCTGTAAATGTGGGTGCCACATGTTCCCTGACATCAAAGAGGTCCCTGTGTGATGACCCAGGTAGGAGAGTGATGCTGGAGCAGGATCTCAGGGATGGCAGGGATCCTCAGTGTGTACACCCTCTCTCCTCATTATCCTCCATCGGAGCCACATACACACAGGACCAAGTGATTCGGTGACTTGCCACAGGCCACACAGCCAGTGAGCAGTTCCCACAGTGGCCCTCCTCCACCCCTACAGAGCTGGCCTGTGAGCCTGTCCAGGTGGAGATGTGCCTCGGTCTGAGCTACAACACCACGGCCTTCCCTAACATCTGGGTGGGCATGGCCACCCAGAAGGAGGTGATGGAGGTCCTCAGCGGTTACAAGGTCTATGGGCAGAGAGAAAGAGGGCGGGCCGGGAGGGGACGGAACCTGGGAGCAGGTGCCTGAAGGCCACTCTCCCTCCACAGAGCCTGACAAGCCTGCCCTGCTACCAGAATTTCCGGAGGCTCCTGTGTGGGCTGCTTGTGCCCCGCTGCACCCCACTAGGCAGTGTTCTGCCCCCTTGCCGCTCTGTCTGCCAGGAAGCAGAGCACCAGTGCCAGTCTGGCCTAGCACTACTGGGCACCCCCTGGCCCTTCAACTGCAACAGGCTGCCAGAGGCAGCTGGTCTGGAAGCTTGTGCCCAGCCGTGACCCTGAAGCTGGCCCCTGCCCTCTTCCTGCCCATCCTCCTTTGCCAGTCAGGGTTGGCAGGCAGGGGAACAAAGGAAGGGGCACCAGCAGGGTCTCTACCCATCTTCTCTGGGGCTCCCAGGGAGGGGGCAGAGGAGTCCTCGGCTGGGGGTCATGGGACCTCCCACCCTCCCTGCTCCTTCCTGTCCCCTTCCTGTCCCCAGGCTGCTGACTGGCCCCACACTGGGCCACTGGACAATCGAGACTGCTTCCTATCCAGGCCTCTGACCCTGACTTCCCATCTCTGCCTCTCCCCCTTTCCGTCTGCTTTTTCAGCGTCTCTATTGCCTGCCTTCTGACCAATAAAATGTACCAAGCATCTACTCATGTGGCAGGCCCTGTCCTAGGCCCTGGGAATCCAACTGGCCGTCTGCCTCCAGAACTCTCCACCCTCATCTCTCTGCTTATTTCTCTCTGGAAGGTGGTCTGATCTTTGGTGTCTGCCACTGTCCAGCCTCTCCTCTGGCCCCTGGGAACCAGAGATGCCCTATGTGTCTGTCTCTCGAGGTTCTGCCTCTCTGTGCCCGGCTCAAGTCTCTCTCCCCCTCCTTTCTCCCCCCAAACTTTGGCCAGCCGCCGGGCGACACCACGAGTTATTTCCCAGCTATTTCCCGGTCCGGGAGCTCCTGGCCCCTGAACAACTGGTTTCCTCTTGGAGTCTGGGAGGAGGAGAGCGGAGCCGGCAGGGAGCGAACCAGGACCGGGGTGACCTCGGGGATGGGGGCGCCTGGCGGGGAAGAAGCGCGGGGGCGGGGGCACCGCCAACTGGAGGGTCCGGAGTAGGTAGCGCCCCCGAAGGAGGCCTTTGGGGAGCCGGGAGGGGGGTGAGTCTGGCGGAGGAGAGGAAAGGGGCTGGGGAGGAGACAGTGGGAAAAGCTGGCGCAGGCCAGCGGTGGGAGGGAAAGCTGGCCGCTCCTACCCGCTCTCGCCCGCCTGGCTCACCCGGTGCTCGGGCCCGCGGGCACTCAGCCTCAGGGGCACGACAGTGGGGTGGGGACCAACTGGGCCGCGCCGGGTGGGGAGCCAGGCAGGTCCCAGGATTCTGGGTCCCGACTCCAGTTCTGCCTGACCCACAGACTGCCAGAGGACCCCGGCGCCCGGGCTCCCGGTACCAGCGCCATGAGGCCGCTCCTCGTCCTGCTGCTCCTGGGCCTGGCGGCCGGCTCGCCCCCGCTGGATGACAACAAGATCCCCAGCCTGTGCCCGGGGCACCCCGGCCTTCCAGGCACGCCGGGCCACCATGGCAGCCAGGGCTTGCCCGGCCGCGATGGCCGCGACGGCCGCGACGGCGCACCCGGGGCCCCGGGCGAGAAAGGCGAGGGCGGGAGGCCGGGTAAGAAGGCACCGCCGCGACTCTCGGTGGCGACGTCCGAGCAGGCGAGGCTGCGACTCCCGCTCCCGGTGTCCGGGGCTCCCGCCAGGGGGCGCCACTCCCTGCGCTTTGTAGCCCTGCGCGGGGGAGGGGAGGCCCAGGCGGCAGAGGCCCCCTCGGCCAGCCCCCGAGTTCTGCCCTCCACCTGCAGGAAGGGGTGGGGGAGAAACCCGTGCGGGAGGAGGCGCTGGGTGAAGGTCAGGTCGGGACGGGGAGGGGGACGGTGACCTTAGAGTCGGCACCCCACTGCGGGCTGACCCGGCCACTGCGCTCACCCTGCCGCCCCCCTTACACCGTAGGACTGCCGGGGCCGCGAGGGGAGCCCGGGCCGCGAGGAGAGGCGGGACCCGCGGGGCCCACCGGGCCTGCCGGGGAGTGCTCGGTGCCTCCGCGCTCCGCCTTCAGCGCCAAGCGCTCGGAGAGCCGGGTGCCTCCGCCGTCTGACGCGCCCCTGCCCTTCGACCGCGTGCTGGTGAACGAGCAGGGCCATTACGACGCCGTCACCGGCAAGTTCACCTGCCAGGTGCCTGGGGTCTACTACTTCGCCGTCCATGCCACCGTCTACCGGGCCAGCCTGCAGTTTGACCTGATGAAGAATGGCCAATCTATCGCCTCTTTCTTCCAGTTTTTCGGGGGGTGGCCCAAGCCAGCCTCGCTCTCAGGGGGCGCCATGGTGAGGCTGGAGCCCGAGGACCAAGTGTGGGTGCAGGTGGGCGTGGGTGACTACATTGGCATCTATGCCAGCATCAAGACAGACAGCACCTTCTCCGGATTTCTGGTGTACTCTGACTGGCACAGCTCCCCGGTCTTCGCTTAGTGCCCACTGCAAAGTAAGCTGACTCACTCTTAGGAGGAGGGCATGACGCTGACAACCAGGTCATCCAGGAGGGCTGGCCCCCCTGGAATATTGTGAATGACTAGGGAGGTGGGGTAGGGGCCTCTCTGTCCTGCTGCTGGCAAGGAACAGGGACAGTGGCTGGGATGAGGTCTGGCAGCATGGGGCAGTGGCTGGATTTCTGTCCAAGACCAGAGGAGTGTGCTGTGCTGGCAAGTGTAGGTCCCCCAGTTGCTCTGGCCCAGGAGCCCACGCTGGGGTGCTTTCTTCCTGGTCCTCTGCTTCTCTGGATCCTCCCCCTCCCTCCTGCTCCTGGGGCCGGCCCTTTTCTCGGAGATCACTCAATAAATCTAAGAACCTCCTACCAGCTCGAGCCTTTCTTCTTTAGTGGTGGGGGTTCCCTGTTTCTGGGATCATGGGTGGGGGGGTGCTCAGGCAGAAGGGAGTATTCTTGGATGAAATAGAGATATGGGGCAGATATACAGGAAGCCGGCCCAGGGGAATGAGAGGCTGCTCCTCAGAACCACCACCTAGGTTGTGAACAGGAGTGTCTGACAGCGAGATACCTTCTTGGGGGTGGGGCTCCAGCCACCCTGAAAAAGGGGCACCTTTTTCTAATTCAAAGATGCCAAGCGAACTACATAAGGGCTGCCTGCACCACACATACCCCTGCCCTGATCCAACAAAAAAGAGCCGAGGACCTTTCACCCATGGCTGCTCTGGCTGCTTGCCTGGTCCCCAGATGACCGGGAAAGCTATTGCTCTGTAAACGGAGTGAGTGGCGCTCCTGGCATCTAGAGATAAGTAGTTTCTGAGATGACCACAAGGGGGTGCCCAGACCCCAGAATGTCACAGGGATCCTGGGTACCTTGGGCTCCTGACTATGGGTGGTGAGGGGGAGGAGGGGTATTGAGGTCAGCCAAAGGAATTCCAGATGTGGGTGGAGGAAAAGGGGGGTCCTTTACTCCCAACTCAGGAAGTTTATCTTCTACCATAAAATGTTTATCCCCACATTAAACAGAGACTGGAAGGAGCCAGGCCTCCCCTTGCTCAGCTCCCTGTCCCAGATTGAGGGAAGGAAAGAGCATGTGCCAAGCCCTCCCCGGGCCTCCCAGTTCCGAGGGGGAGATGAGGAGTCCTCCCCGACTGCACTGGGAATAGCCTGGGTGGGCCGAGCCACTGTGTCTGAGGCTAACCACAAAGCCCCTCAAGGCTCCCTGCCCAGGGCCCACCCCCAACCCAGTGACTAACAAACCAGGACTGGCCAGCCCCATCTGCACAGACTCAAACCAAGGAGGGGGGGCCTTGCCTCAGAGTTTGTTTCTTTCTTTCTTTTTTTTTTTTTTTGCTTCTTTTGGCTATAAGCAATCCTCAGAGTTTCTTCATGAGCTACCGGCATCCCCTTCCTGAAGGCAGTCCCAGGCACTGTGCTCCCAGACAGAACAAACAATTATGGGGGAGTGCCCCTGTTCTTCCCCTGATCATGTGAGGGCAGACAAGGCCAATGGGGGCTGAGCCCCAACTGTGAGCTAGAGACAGGCCTCAGGCAGCCTCCACCAGGAGGTACCGCAACCACACTCCAGCCCAGCCCTGCACCAGACCCCATGCCAAGACACACAGAGAGAAGCACCAGCTCCTCAAGATCCGAGGGTAGCCTGGACTCCAGGCAGCAAGAACCCCATGCTCCCTCCCAGGAAGACTGGCCCAGAGGAAAAGCTGGGAAGGTTGACTCAAGGGTTGAGATAGTTCACATTCTTCTCTACACGGGCTTAATTTGGCAAAAATGGAAAAAACACAGAAGGCTTTTCGAAAGCCACGTGTGCAAGGGACAAATCAGAAGGGATGAGAGCTCACAGAGCCATGCCTGGCACGCACTCTCCCTATGACACAGTCTTCCCATACTATCTTGGCTCACGGCCTGTCCCTCCTCTAAAGCCCAGGTACCCCCACAGACCACACTTCTGACTGGCAGGCCTGAAGGACCCTGATGCAGAGTCTGTTACCTTGACCAACTGCTCCCTTGCAGGGATGCACAGAGACTATCAGAGCTGTCAAGAGAACTTTATTCATTGGAAACTGGGCCACAGATCCCCCAGGAAGCTGCAAGCCCCTGGGCCCTGGCCCCTTCTGTGTTTGGACCCTAGTGAAATGTGCACAGTCTGCCATCTCCGACGCCAGGGAGAGACAGAGAGGAATGCCATTTTTCTGTGTAATGTGGGCGTGAAAGGGAATGAGAAATCTGGTTATCCCTCTTGAGACTCCCAGTGAGCTGGGGTACCAGAGGGCATGTGGACCCAAAGCCAGGTGCAGATGCACCCCCCGACCCCAGGGGTAAACTCCTGAGTCCAGCTTTTGGATCAGGTTGCGAGGGAGCCTGATCAGATGATGACAGCCAGAGGTGGCTCTGAGGGCACCTGAGAGATACTATCCTCAAAGCCTATCAGGGCATAGGGGCTCTGGCTGAACACAAAGGTTCAAGATCATCCCAAGGCCCCTGAGTTGTTAAAACACCCAAATGACACTGATGTTTTGTGGCTGCAAAAGCTGGAGAGGAAGTGTGAAGGAGGCAAGAAAAGGACCTACAAATCCCCAACAGAAAAACCAGAAGCAGACAGGGGTAACCCCAGAGGCATCTGGGTGGGCCCAGGACAGGCTGGAGAAGCCCACAGCAAACAGTCTCAGGGCCCTTGCATAGTGACATACTCACCACCCTCAGCATCGAAGGGACCCACTGGGTAAGGAGAAGCTATGTTACCCTGCCCCCACCCAGATCATAGTCTTCCATCTCAATGTCCTGGATATATGGCTTGGAGGCTTGGCAGGACAGCCACAGGGGTAGGAGAGGATTCAGACCAGGACCCAGAGATGAGGTGTTAATGCTGTCCTAGCGTGAGTGCCTGCGTGGAACGTGGAGCGTGGAGGGATGGGCAGGCAGGGAAGGAGTCTTCAGAGGTAGACATTGAGGGTCTGCAGGATGCCACGGCGGCAGAGCGGGCAGTTGCGGTGGTAGACGGGGTGGCGCATCA